ATCAATATTTGGAATATGTGTAGATTTCACTTCAAATATTTCATATCTGACCCTTGACCTTTGGATGAAATTATTTGTTATGATAGATTCTGAATTAACAATGTGACTGCAATATTAGTCATTGTAGACTATGAAATTGGCCCGTTCATACAGGGCCAATTGTACAATACACAAATGACATGCTGTATTGCTACATTGTACGATTAATTTGGGGATAATCAATTGTTAATCTAATTAAATTTGTGCTATATGTACAGTAATTAGAAATTAGGTCACAAACAATATATTGCATGATAGTAACTTTAATTATGGAAAAACATTAATGTCAGATTGATTTTCAAGACACAAAACAGCATAGAAGGAAACAATGAAACATTCCCATCCTGCCAAAGGTAGGTTGCTTTTGGGAGTGAAGGTCTACTGTGGAAGATAGATGACTATTCTATTAAACTATCTGTTGAAATTTTTCAGGCTACACCTGTAAGTTATCATTGCCAAGAATTGTTAACTTTCAACGAAACCCCCAGATGATATCATATTGCCTCTACTGCGATGGTCCGATAAGTTTAGGCTGGGGCCCAATGTTGGGCTGCAAAACATTTTTGGAAGGCCACGAAGATACCAAGAAGAAGAAAATCAGATTTGTTTTCGTAATTAAACTGCTTCACTTATAGCAAATGTGCAGTTTATCCTAATTTTTGGTAATTAATAGAACAGATAACGATGTAAAATCATCTTAGGAATATAGAGGTGATTTCATGATCAGAACATTTTGGAAGGTTTCTACAGTATATGTTGGTCACTGGTGTGGCTGGGCCGAGGCTATAGTCTCTAAAATCTCCAGTAGGCGGTGAAGTAAAAAATTTGATGAACACTGCTCTACTCAAAGCGGTTGCCACAACAGTAAAAAAAATTATGATGAAATAGTGAATATTCTTATTCTGCAAGATAACCACCTCTTTTTTTGTTTCATATAAAGGCAGAATCAGTGACAGAGGTTGACAAGTTACGAAACAGAAGTATATTACTTATATTAATGTATATTTCTTCACTGTCAGAACATCTTCAGTGTTAATGAAGATTACGAGAAGATTGTCATATTTATATACATAAGATCGTGTTACTCCGTTCCTTAAGGACATTGAGGAGTATTCAGATCAAGAATCAAGCATAAAAAAGAACTATATTGTTGAGAGCTAGGTATTAACGCTTAAATGATAGAATATACCAAATAAACCTAGGTCTTGTTTAATCTTTAATATTGAGAGTTACATACTGTTATAGTTTAGTTTAATTTTTTGAAATATGGACCAATGTACAGTACTGTATCTCTAATGCAGGAAAAATGCATTGATTGTGACTGATTGTCCATATTGATATGCTGTGTTTATTTATTTAACTTTTTTTTATTTTGAATGCAAAGGCACTGGTTTTCGTTGGGTTGGCTGTTAGTGAGCTGTAGTGCATACTCAGTGGCGGTTTCAAGGGGAGATGCCTCTTTCCCCCCCTCCTCCATTATTCAAAGCCTAAGAGTGGCATTTCCGGCCATCTAGAAAGCCCCTCCAAAAATACTCATGCTCTCCCAGTCGTCCCCCCCTCCAAAAATCACACGCAAGTAGTTAAAAATTACCTTATTTTGCGAGTTAGCGCCCTTCACATAACCATCGAACCCCCTCGAGCGCTCTCCTATCAGCAATGCAAAGGCACTGGTTTTCGTTGGGTTGGCTGTTAGTGAGCTGTAGTGCATACTCAGTGGCGGTTTCAAGGGGAGATGCCTCTTTCCCCCCCTCCTCCATTATTCAAAGCCTAAGAGTGGCATTTCCGGCCATCTAGAAAGCCCCTCCAAAAATACTCATGCTCTCCCAGTCGTCCCCCCCTCCAAAAATCACACGCAAGTAGTTAAAAATTACCTTATTTTGCGAGTTAGCGCCCTTCACATAACCATCGAACCCCCTACATGACCTTCGCGCTCTCCTATCAGCCCCATAATTTTAAGACTACTACAAGTAGATACGCCATTGATCTATAGAAGTGCCATAATCATGGTGGGGCTGAGGTGGGTGGATCCCTTCCTGGGCCCCTCTACAGCATTACGAATCCTGGATCCACCGCTGATATTTATCAGCATGTTTACAATAATTCAGTGCTATTTAAACAACATTACTGTAATCAATAAACTAGTTACTGTACCATATTGATAAATGTTAATCTGATGAGAGAAATGTTAACATGTAAAGATAATAAACAAGAAGATGGATATTCAACTCATTGAAATCGTACTGATATCAAATGCTGTTAAAAAAAAAATAAAAACCTGCATATTTTACAGTATCTATATCTTCATCAGTTCCCTGACAGTGCATTTCGAAATGCAAATTCTGCTATGGTTACAGGGTTAAAGGTTGCTATACAATGCAACCTGTTGCCATGTGTTAGTACAATTTGGCAGCTACTCTACCTGTTTTCCTTTTTAAACTTTATTTTATCTGCATTTTTTGGCACTTGATCATGTGATCTTATTCTCTAATTAAACATGTCAGTGTAATTGATGGGTTTGTCAGTGTTCTGAGGAGAGGAGAGTACTCATTGAAAATAGTCATAATCATTTCGTAGGATGATTGAGTAATAAGTTATTGATCATTTGGCCAATCGATCACTTCCATGCTGACCCATAATTAACAGTAGAAGTAGTTAATATGGATATGAAGAGTAAAGTACTCAACTATAATAAGTGCAAAAACCACACACACCCACAAATTTTATGATTCTCTAAACGTGGTCTATTTATACTCTATGCTAGTGTACATTTGTGGTAACATCTACCGGAAAAATAATGCCAAAGGAGGCCTAGCATCATAGGCATTGCATGGCAAGCCCATCAATCAGACGAGTTTGTACGCTGCCTGAAGCGCTTCCAGTCTGCCGGCCAGAATTTGGTATACAGTCTATCCACTCGAGTCTGCTCTGCCTAGCCAAACAACTCGGTCAAATGCTCAGTCTGTTGGCAAGCCGGAAAGTTGTAAATAACATTCTAAATTCTGCATTACTTCCAATCAGCACTAAATCCAAGAAGGACCGAGATACATTTAACTGTCAATATGTGAAAATTTGAAGTAATTGTAAATCATTCCAGTAATTTTTTAATTGCACACACTATTACAATACCCTTAATCTGCAAGATGTGAGGGTAAAAATTCAAATTAGAGCTGGCTGTTTCCAGTTTTTTTGCCCTTCCATATTCATACAGTATCCACATTTATCCATGAGCCAGTTCACACACTACCAATAATTCTTCAGGTGTAAGCCCACCTGTAACTGAGGGTTATGATTATTCTATACAAAATACTCTTACCCAGGTTAATCGGCCTTGGGGGTGGCAAAAATATCGTAACATACTATACACCTTTCGTAACTGTGCACTTAAACCATAATGTGTTACGAAGTTAGGCTGCAAAAGTTATTAAATGTCAACAACCCGCATACAGTACCCATACCTGATGTATATTGTAAGCCCACCCCTAATTTTTGATATCTACTGTACTTATAATAATGTTCTAGTACCAGGGACTAGCTTATCCTTAATTTTAAATTTGGAAATTCTACACTATATGAGTGCCTCAGTCAGCAGTTGTGAAAATACAATGAAATAAATTTTTATTGAAGTACTGTACACTGTAGCATCAAACCACTAATAAGGTTTTAATTAAACAAAAACATCATAAAGAAAACAAGAACCATCAACATGCTAGATACTGGAGTTCTAACCATGGCTTGTGTATGTCTCTTCGTGAGACCTACAATAGTTTTTTTTCCCTGTCTATTGTCTTTCTTTTCCTAGAAGCACATTCCCTCGGTGACATTGACAGGTTGGTTTTGTTTTGCTAGTTCTGCTAGTACACCATTGTTCTGAATTTTGATGATGTTAATTTTGTGATGCTTTGGTGTTTTATTTTCAGTTTCATATCATTTTTACCGTAATGACAACAATTATGTCAACTTTATTATTTGTTTATGTCCTTAATAATTAACAGGAACCAATCTATTCTGTACAGTAAGTAAGCATCTTGTTAATGTTAAAAATGAATTGCAGACGATCGTGGTGGCCCTGTCCTTGTAGCCTCTCCTGAACCTTAAATGTTCCTATAATCATCCTCACGTTATAGTGCGGCATTAATATTCAAGAGTGACACTTTTTCTAAATTAATATACAGTCCTGTCTGACTTCCTACAGCATTTATGTGTGGAAATTTGTTATCCTAATTCTTAACATCAAAGCATGTTATTAAAGGTATTCTCGAGTAAGTGCTGTAACATTTTAATTTTTATTCAAATTACAAAAATATAATGCTATAAATAGTATGGGTGCTCACTCAAAAACAGCAGTTTATAGTAGTGAATAAAATCTTTGGTGCATATTGAGGGAAGGTGCTTATTGGAACATACACTGTGACTGTCAGATGTAGTTGTATGGGTAAAATATATGCTCTGGGTAAAATACAGGTACTCATATTAACGTAAGCCTGTATGCATACACACCAACTCATATGTCAAACACAACCCACGTTTGCAAACTATGTATGGCCATTTAGATAGGTTTTCAGAGCAAATGGTCTTGAGTTTCAAGACCCTTTTGCTTGTCTTGATGAATTATTTGTTTTCCCCTCCATCCTATAATCTGACTCAGTTGCATGACGCATTCTTAAAGCTAATCATATGCAGTGGCGGATTTAAGTAAGCATCTTGGCCGGGCTCCCTAAATTTTTCAAAATTATAAAAATTATGAAGAAAAAAAGAAAATTCAAATTTAAGTCTGAGAATGCCAATTCAAGCCATAATTATATCTTTTCTTATCTCAGCCCCAACCATGGTGGGGCTGAGCCGGTCTAGACCCTCAGGTCCTCCAATTTCCGGGCCCCCTCTATTTCAAATTCCTGGATCCGCCACTGAAATATATACTGATATACAAATTTAAAATGTTTTCTTTTTTTTCATTGGTGAAGTTATTCTGCCTGGAACCGAGGGCTCTGAGACCATGGACAATGTGGCAGCGTCCGTTTCATTTGGCAGACAGGTGGACATAAGCGCTGACACGGAATCGGTTGATACGTACCACCATCATTCATTTGGCAAGAAGTCATTCCATCGACCAACTTTCTGTCATCATTGTACGGAGATGCTATGGGGTATTACGAAACAGGGACAAACATGCGAAGGTAGGATGGTTGGTAGGAGCAGCAAGCTTGTTAGAAGTGGGTTATGAATTGACACAATTGACAAAATGAAAGTGGTAATTGGTCGTGTGATGTTAAGTTGATATAACATAGTGTGCGATTAGGTTGAAAGTACAGGAAGAGGAAATTGTTATGGTTTTAAACAACTCTCTTATATGATAATGTGTGAAATAAATGGCATGATATTGTAGAATGATTATTCAAAGTAGTGGTCTTAATACTGTTTTGACACTGAATGTGAAAATAAACCTGTGTGTTGGAAAATTTTGACTTGTGTCTGAAGCTAGCCCCGAATCATTACAGTGTCTCAGCTGACTCTCACTTTTAGTTTATTGAACAGTTTGCCTATCAGTATGAGAAATAACTTACAGTATAAGCCAATTGGAAACCATCTTTATTAAACTACCTATTTTCATCCTTTGATGTAAATACCCTGAGTTGCTATAGTACTCTTGATTGGATGTGATTGAGAATGAGATGAAGCATAGTGTAAACTCAGGTACAACACCTCTCTGACCATTAGAATGATGTACTGTACAGTACTATACAGAATGTGAGAAGAGTCAAGGAAGAAATTTTCAATGCAGCTTAAAAAATGTTGTTTATTTTAGATTTAAAGCCAGGCTCACAAGAATGGGTGCGACCACCTTTTTACCAATTTCCCCCAGTTTTTAAATACTCAAAAATCTGTGTCTTATTTACTGTTGCCAAGTTTTTCATCAAACATGCCTGTACTTTTGTGTCTCCGAAAAATCAATTGTACAGTAAAACATATCAAAGAATTTTTTTCCCTTCAGATTTTCCCTTTAAAATGTCCCATAGACTCTTTAAAAACGGCCGATGTTAATCAATTTAATCCCAATAACCAAATTCCTTGCACTGCCATCCCTGAATTGATTTTTGCAGTTTTTAAAAATTGCTTATTAACAACTGCTGTTTTATGTCAAACTTATTGGTGAACACCATGGTTTTTGGAAAGCAATCCTTTGTGTGTTTTACTGAATTAAAATTCATTCAATAAAAACATGTAAGCTACTGGGTTTACATATAGTAGCTGTTCATATTGCAAAGTGTATAGTACATGGTTCCCATGTGTAGAGTACACGTGTGTTGATTCCATTTGTTACATGTGATTCCATATACAATCATGCGTGAATTCTTCATGTATTTTCTTGTAGTTTCCACATTATGCAAGGTTTTCCATACTAAAATATGATGCAAATTATCATGTATTTAAAAAAAAAAATATTTACCATTTTTTTATACAAGCTGTGTACTTAAATATTCTTATTAGAAACATGATTTCTCCCGTATGTTTGACCGTTAAAAACATTAAGGGTATTTTGAATGCGTATTTAACACAGTTCTTTCAAGCTTAAAATTTTCCCGACAAAGTCCTCTTTATTTCCCTACTAGGGAATGGAGGATCTCACACCCCTTCCATGAAATGGTAGATTCGTAATCCTTGAATGATGTTTCATCTCAGCACTCCTATTTATAATGTCGGATTATTTATTATATCATGCTCTTTTATATCTGAATTTTAATTTAAATATTCCATAAGTTTACCCATGGAGCAGAGTGTGACACCCATTCGTGGATACTGATTGGCTATCTATTTAACCCACACAACCACCACGGCAAGGTCAATACGCAGGGCTTATCAGAAAAAAACTTCTTAAATGGTCTTACATGTGGATAGCTACATTTTAAATTCATTTATTGTCAGAGAACAATTTTTTAATATTTTGCTTTCAATTTGAATTATCCAACTTTATACTGTATGCCTGTTTAGTCTGGTGTCAAACCTATAAGAAAAAACAGGAGTTTAAACCTTCACCTATATTAATATGATATTGAAAACTCTTAAGTCTTTTATATTATTTGTTTTTAATTGATATATTACATGTTCCATCTTACTATTTTAACAATTATATAATAAATCATTATTGTTGATTATTATGACATTAAATATAATACAGAAATTTTTTCTTTATATTACATAATTTACCAACTGTGAAAGCTTTGTCATCTTCAAATTCTTCCCTTTCACCCCTCCTGGTATTATTACGAAATTTAATTCAGTTCTTTAATCCATCATCATGTAATTGTACGAATGTTGTAGGATTAAGCCTAAAAAAGCATTAGGCCTCTGTACACTAATAACTTTTTGTAGTATAAATATCGCGTGCAATTTCATTCAACATTTTTGAAAAATTTTAATTCCAATTTTAATACAAATTTCACCAAATTGCATATTACAGTAAGTTAAGTCCCTATAAAAATATTATTAGTTTATCACCCTATCTAGGCTGGAAGAGTGATGAGAGAGGGAGGCATTTTTTTTTTGCTAAAGACAAATATGCAAATGCAATGATTCAAAGTAAAACATTATTGAGATAATATAAACAACTACTAACTATTTAATTTTACAAAAAATAAGAAATAAACTAAAAATTAAAATTTTTTTTTTTTCAGTAGCCTACCATAGAAGACATGCGTGCGAGGGTGATAAACTAATATTTTTTTTTTATTGTTGCTAATAAATATTAAGTTTTTCAAGCAGCAATATAAAATGGATGCAAAATTATTTCCGGTTCTGTGTCATGCCCTACAAGAAAAAGTAAATAAAAATGATTAAATTTCAAATTAACAATGTGTACTGTAGTAACTCAATAATAATACTATCAATTACATCCAACTCTTGCCTCAGGAACTGTTAACTTGCCTAATTATGTGTTTCTTAAATAGGTCATATATTGACACTTTCTAATATTTTAAAAAATGTCTTTATTTCTTTTGGAATAATGTAGGTTATTAACCTGCTTTTGACCTGAGAAATTAAAAAATATATTATAATGGCTCATGCCAATCCTTAAATTTGTCCCAGCCTGTTACCGTACCATTTCACATTGATTTGCCCCGATAGGAGGGAGGGCTGGAATAGAAATTTTACCAGTGTTTGAATTTTGATTAGTAACTTTCTAGTTTTACGTCAAATACTGTAGCACTAGGTAAAAAAAAAACCATGCAGGGATGATCTTCAAAATTTCTTCAATTGCATAACATCTGCTTATACATTAGCTACTGAAATTGAATAGCAGCATTTTACAGGAATTACTTTGTTAAAATTAATAATAATACTTGGATTATAAACAGTTTTCCGTAGGCCTACGAAACTGTATGATTGCCAATTGGTATTTTCATATTATTCTGAAAACTTAAATAATCAGATACTTGTAGCTATAAGCAGCCTGTTTCCAACAAGGTGATGTAGCTGTTTTGGATATTTTTCAAATAGTATTTTTAAATTAACTTGTAAAAGTTGGTAGAGTTGTTATCGAGTTCACATAAAGCAGTATAAAATATTTCAGACTTATAGTCGGCATCCCATTAGTTATGACCCAAGTTTGGGTCTTGTCTTGGATGAATTTTTCAGGGTCGTCAGTTCGAATCAGGATCTCAAAAAAATGATAGAAAAGTGTTAATAAGTTTGGCAAAAATCGCAGGATTCCTGTAAAAACATCAAAGCAAAATAAAAAAAAATTAAAATAATTTAATAAAATGTTGGCTATTTTCTTTAAATTTATGTTTGAATGTTCTCGCTTACAGTATTTTTATGAATTGATGAGCTGCCCTGTTCGCCTATGGCATGCTGGTGTACCATGAGTAGTGTGTCGTTTAAGCTCTCAAGTAAAACATCAAAAGCCTACTGCACACAGGTTTTTCCCACTTAATTGAAGTCACCAGTGGCATAGTATGTGCGGTGCAGCCAGTTCAATGCACTGCGGCTGTTATGGGTCCGTTCAGTAATACAGTATGCCTAAAATTTGTGAATTGGATCAACAAAAAATATTTAAAAAAAACTGAGTAAAAAAAAAAAACAGTTCCTACATCATTTTCCAAAAAAGAATTATCAAATGTCCAGTAGGCTCTTCAATAATATTTAGATGGAGGCTTTAGGTGGGTGTGGGTTCTTAGGCCAACAACACTTCCTACCGTGGCAGGCATTTATCATGCTACTGTTCTGCACCCAGTGCGATGTGATGAGTTTGCCTTAGGATGTGTTGGCTACCTCTGCAAACAAAGCCTAAATTTGGCATGTTATGTTAATATCAAATTATGATGTCGTTGACTGGCTTTAATTAGATGCGCCCGGGGCAGGCATTTCGGTGAAATACGAAGCCTAGTGTTAAACAACATTATTCCAAAACATGTGTCTGCTTTTAAGGTGGAATGATAATGACGCTTTTGGGTCAGATAGAAAGAGTGAAAAATCATGCATGGAAATTAAATCCCAGTGGTTGGTATAAAATCCATGTGTTTTTCTTTTCTTTTTTTTTTAATACAAAAATAGTTATTACTTACACAAGCTATTGCCATGAAAAGAATAACAATGCATCTGTTATTGGAAAGAAAAGTATTTTTTATTCTAATTTTCAATTAAAAGCCTAAAAAAGTATAAAGCTACCTAAATATTTCACTTTTTTTGTCATGGACGTAATTATCTGAAGAGGTAGTAGGCCTATACTGTTTCTTTAATTTAGGAAGGAATTGAATTATATTGAATCGTTTGGGTGACATACTGTAGAAAATAGAGAAATTATGAAAAATTCAAGACAGTACTACCATGTCAGTAAATCACATTGGCTTTACATGAAAACCAGGTCACTCGATTAATATTCACATTTTTTGATTGGCTAAAAATTATTTTATAGGGAAAATCTATGATTATCAAATTTCAGTTAATTTTGATGTCAAAATCTTCTGCTTGCTTTATATATCAAATTTAATATATTATACAATATTATACAATTGATTTCTAATTTGATTTAAAGGTCAATTTTGACTAGGGTCATGCGAAGGTTCAAAATATGTATTTGAAACTTTTGATTATTAACATAATTAATCAAACGGATCAAACAGACGTAAATGCCATTCTCGCTACTCGAAGTCGGTGTCGGATGCACGAGTCATGGGTCTTGTGACTTATAAAAAAGTACAATCCTGGTAACGTCAGTTGAATTGTTTTTACAGTATGCTATTGGAAAATAAATAATACCAATAAATTATTATCAATGTTATACTGAGAAGTTATGAACAATATCTACTCTATGAGGCCTACTACTACAGTACGGTATTATCCAATTACAAAATACAGTAATATAATTATTTATTTCTTAAGTATAACAAGCTTTTCCTTTTCTATGTAGTTTGAAGGATGCCTGTCAACATACTGTTAAAAAAAAAAATAATAATTTGAACATTTTATTATACATGGATTGTCTCACGGTGTTGATGAAGAACGATGAGTTTTGAGAGTGGAATTAAACTCTCCCAAGATGGAAGCTTGGTGAACTTCATACTTGTGTCCAATAAAAATATTAAAAATATCTTTTTTTTTCCAGTTTGTAATTTTGTAAGTCATGAACGATGTCTATATAATATAGTTACACCATGTTCTAGTGTCGCATCAGATAGAATAAAGGTATGTTTATATATATTTCTTCTGAAATATTATGTTTTAAATTAAAATTATTGTTATACCGTATATACTTGCGTATAAGGCGACCCTCGTATAAGATGACCCCCGAGTTTGAGAAGGTAGTTGGAGTAGAAGACATCCCTTCGTTTCAACTTTGTAATTCATACTTTCTGCCACTCTTTATGGTCTTAATAAGGCATCTAGATGGTTAAAAACAAATCCATTTTATGGGAATTTAAATATTAATAAAAATCTTATTTACCGTTCATTCATACTAATATTTAGTAGATTCATCGTAGTACTAAATTCGCATGTTAGGGACGATCCGCACATAAGACAAACATGATTCGAAAATTTAATATATGTATGTGGCGCGTATACAGTAAGAGGACTCCCTATTTTCCTTGTCCTATATGCGAGTTTATACGGTAATATTGTTTGTTGTATTTATGATGAAATGATTGAAATTTATTTTAAATTATATTTTACTTTTTAACGTTTATTATGTAATTTTTAATATTTTCTTAAATTTCATTAATCTGTTTGTATTTTTATTGTTACTATTTTATATTATTTTATTATTTTATATATTGAATTCAGTTTTTATCTATGTAGTTGTTATTGTTAATTATTTTACCTGCTTAGGATCCGGTCCCCCATACCTGGAGTGACCCTGTGCAAGCTCGCAAGAAATTCTGCAATGTGTGTCGGCGGAGACTTGACGATAGTGTTGTCCTGCGTTGTGAAGGTCAGTTTAATGTCCAGTCAAAGTTTTTAAACCTACTATTTACGTTAATTTCAAGGCACTAGAACTGTAGTGAGGGTGGGCATTTGTTTTCCATTTCCAGGGTTTGCGTGACTTCAGACAGAATGGACTTTCTGCTGTACACTGCTCCCATAAAAGAATTGTGTAAATATGCATAAACTTGTGTGTTTGTGGGACTACATGCGTGTTTGTACGATGCAAGCGTATTTCTAACCTTTTTTTGATTGGTCAGATGTTAAAAGTTTGATGGTCCATTGCAATCCTTTAGAAAAAAAATTGTTACTTTTGAAGTTTGGTTTCCATACAATCGCTGCACGCTCTCGCCGACAGCTTGCGGTGATGCTGATTGGTCGGTCGAATTGTGGAGCCTTCCAAATTGGGTCGGGGATTGCTGCGCAGTACAATAATTGCACTAAAAACCGATTTTATGGAAAAAAAGCATTACACAGAAGGTAGAATGTGGGCTTACTGTATGTCAATATAAGTACTATTTAAGCTTAAAGCTTGAGCATGGTTAAATACCATTTCAATCATTTGGATAAAATCCTGTTTTAATTTTTTTTTTTTTTTAAATAAGCCTATTGAGTTTATAGAGTAATCAAATTTAATTATAAATTGCTATGTATTATTGCATACGTTTTAGAATAAGTGATAATCGTTATGAGATTTGTAACTAATCTTACATCAGCATACAGACAGCTGTTTTATGCACCTTATAAATCCATTGGGAAAAAAAGAAATTGATTCAGATTGGCCAAAAACAAAATAAAATGGGAGGACTAATTAAAAATATATATAAGAATATAAGAATGACAAAACAATGATGACAACAAGAGTTAAATGTGTCTACTTATTTTTTTTTTAAATTTTAAGTCTCTTTTTTTTTTTTTTAGATAAAAGAGTTATTCTTGAGTTTTGGTCCTTTTCATGCTCCAAGAGAAAAACAAATTAAACTCTGCACGGTGTTAAATGAGTGTGAAAAGTTGGCGAGGCATATAGTTAAATGTTATGGGAAGTTGAGGAGGCAATCATTGAGGATGTTATAGTTACCTTGTCATTATTTTTTCTAAAGGACCTCTTTGTAGATAATGTTTTGCGTGAGGGTCTCTGCCAAATAGTCCTTGTGAAGAATTATCCATTTTGATAATACATTGGAGAACAGTACTCTCTTGCATGTGAAAATGCAACATATACAGATGGGCATGAAATAAATATTTTTTGTTATGATTGAATTTGGTAAAAGGAAAGCTATAACTAACAAAAATAGGCCGTGGATAATGTTCCAATGGATTTACATTACTTTGAGGTGTTGGTTAGTGGAGTTGACTTGACCCTAATCTTCAGTTTCACTATCTTAGTATAACCCCATAAACAATTTATAGCCTGTTATTAGAAAAGAATAGGTGTGGGTCGTTTGCGTTAAGGGCTATGGCGTCGAAAAAGCGCATTTCTTTCCCAGTAGTAGTCCTAAAATAGTGTAAAATGTAATTTAGTAAAAAATAATTTTCCAAAATCATCACATTCTTTGATAGTTTTACTTTAGAATATCCAACTATCTGTGAAAAATAACCATGGTTTTATATAAAAATCGTCTCTGTTTAACGTATCTTTTTTTACAGTGTTTGCTGTCGCTTGTGTTATTTCAGTGGCAGATCTAGGAATTTGAATAAGAGAGGTAGGCATAGAGGGCCTAGCTAGCTATTTATAGGCCAGCCTATAATTTAGTAGGCGATTGTTAAGCCTTGTCTGTATCATGCCTTGTTCCCAGGCGTATATGCCTTGTATTTTTACCTGATTGATTTCTAAAACATCCTGCCAGCGGTTTCAGAGGTGATACAGTAGGTGAAGTTATGCAAAGACAATTAAGAAAATTAATATATCTATAGATAGAAGATAAATAGATTATAAACAAAAATGAAATAAAAAAAAGTTTTTCTCATTAATAGACCCATATGAGGCTCGCCATAAAAAAAAAAAAAAATATCCAGTATTCTGTCGCTAAATGTTACTCTGTCTTTAAGCATAAGAATGTGGCAGGGTTGTTGCCTTTAGTAAAGAAAAGCCGTAATACTTTTACTCAGAACTTTGGCAATAATAAGTCAATTCCAGTAAATGGCAAATCATTTTAAAGCTTTACAAGTGAGGAGAATATGAATGTTAAAAAGTCAGTTTTCTTGTATTTGGTCACTGATGATGTTTTTGGCATGGCAAGCCCCATATGTTTCTTGCATTGTCAATGATGAAGAGAGGCATTCATACTCCCAAGTGAGGCATAACATTATACTGTTCTCTATCCTGGGGGCATATGTTTCTCGCAAGTTGTCAGCGATACCAAGAAATATGACCTATAAATTGGTTGAAATTAATTTCTCCATGAACAATTTATGGGCAGCCTATTGAATTAAGTTTCAGCTAGTCACATCTAGATGATAAAGGTGACAAGAAACGTCAAATTATCACCTCTTTGTTATTAATTATGAACAACTTTTTTTTGGTTATTAATTATACTATCAAATATGCTATTAAATAAACATTACAACAGGATGGAAAAGTCATGGATGTTAGTGCCAAATTAATTTGCTTTGGAAGTACCCCTTCTCAAATCCTTCAATTTACTGAATCTGCAGTACTAACCATGATGATCAACCAACTTTTTTTGTTAAATTCTCTGTAAACCTAAGTTGTGCTATTTCATTATCGCATCCAAGCTGGTATTTGCTAATGTGGATTTTTCTAGAAAGTGTCTAACGAAGTTGGAAAGTGCTTAAGGAGTGCCAGCTCAGCCTCAAGATTTAGATGGAATAGTAGAGCAGCTGGCAACTGAAGGGTTTTGGTTTTGAATCCTTATGTAAAATGTTATAATTAACTTCAAGAAGGCTATATTTGGCTCTTTTTAATTATTATAGTACTAATGTCATCACATTATCATAAATTATTTTAATTTGTTATTAAAATTGTGTATGCATGAATCATTGTGAAGATGTTTTTCATTGATGAATTTTAAAACAATATCGATTAGTTAATACTCATATTTTTTTCTTCCCACAATATAGTAAGTTGGATGTTGTTTGTGCTCATTTTAAATTATGTGTATTGAATACAAATTGCAAGCCTTTGTTATATTTTTAGTAATGAATATTGTTCTATTCAGCTCGTATATATTTTCTACCACGTCGTATATTGCTTCTGTAGTGCGGCCCATTTAAATTACCTGTATTGAAATCGGAATTGCAAGCAATTGTTGTGTTATTTATTAAAGCCTAAAAGATGGCATATTTACATATGGCTGACAATGGAGACAATGATTTATTCGAAAGTAAATGTTCAATCAAGATCAAGGTCATATGACGTATACTTGACCTTTGACCTAGTCAAGATTATCAATTTCTCATGGATCAAGCCTGTATAATTATAAGCGTAAACAGAGTACACCTGTAGCGAGTCATTTAGCGTGTGTACACATGATATACACGTTTATGAATAGTTAAATAGGCAAGCCTTCTGTACGCTCTCACCATATATAATTAGTGTGGTGAACGAACTCTGTTGATATGAATTAAGTTGGCATATACTGTTGGGTTGAATGGCTGGATTGGCTGTAGGGAAGAATTATTAATGCATATTGATGTCTGTGGAAAAATGATGCCCCAGTTATGATAATTATTAAAAGATACTATTGAAATAAGTGATGCTCGCCCAGTTATGCTAATTATTAGTTAAGTAGAAAAACTTACAAGCCTAATTTAATGACTATAAGAAAGAGGAAGGAGAATTGTTGGGCCTTGATGGTAAATAAAAAATGAGGGAAGAACAGTTGATAGATCTAGATGGTAAATATAAAATAGAGGTTAAATAATTGATGCATGCCTGTTTATGATAATTATTATACAAGAAAGGAATGGAGAAACATTTATGAGCGTAGATGGTAGTAATATTAGAGGAAGACTAAATGATTCTTGGGCTTATTTATGGTAAATACAGTATAACACTTAGAATGGAACAACTCATAGGTCTATATTTAAGGTAATTATAAATATATGGGATAACAGTACAAAGGAGAACAATATAAAATCCTGTGTATTTTTGTATGGAGAGGAACCATTTGTGACTCCCAAGTTTATGATAATTTAGTATAAAAGAGTGGGATTTATGGTATATGATAAAAGGAGATTATATAAATATAGTGAAAATATTTTTATTTATATTTATTTTTGCCTTTTACAGTTTGTGAATATTACGCTCATCTGGGATGCCTTGATTTTGTAGTGAGTGACTGTCGAAAGTGTGCAAGCTATGTCCGTAACAAAGATGCGGTTGGTCTATATTATTTTCATTATAGATATTAAATATATTGCTCCTATAAGTGCGCTGCTATTGCTCCTACTACTACTATTAGTACTATTACTACTACTTCTGTTACTGCAGCTGCATCTGCTACTAGCTCTACTGGCTGCTACTAGTAGAGTACTACTACTACTACTGTATTAGTACTACTATATATTTAGGTATATTTATTGCAAAAAAGAATCGCACATACAAAACAGTCTATTGCAGCATAAGCTGAATTGAGAGACTGAAAAATTATTACAAATATTGGCCATTAAAAATTTACGAATCATTATTAAAATAGAGCAGTATTAAACATTAAAATTTACATTAATACCTTAAAAATTACAAAGACGTAATACATATTAAAAATTCAAGAGAAATTAAACAATTGAGTCTCAAAAAATATATATACAATTTCATCATTAAAATTTAATCATTAAAAAAAAAAAAAAAAAAAAAAAAAATAGTTACTATTGCCACTACTACTGTTGCTTCTAATTGCTACTGCTAAATGTTACTGCTATTACTGCTACTGTTACTATTACTACTGCTGCTGCTGCTGCTGCTACTAACACTGCTACTTATAATACTGTCATGAATGTACAATTCTAAGATATTGCTTCTTATGTTTTTCTTTACAGAGCAATGAGCAGTTTAAGCACCATTGGCGTGAAGGCAACCTCCCTCATAATGGCAAGTGTGCACTGTGTAAAAAGACATGTGGAACAACAGAATGTCTCAGCAGCATGAAATGCAACTGGTGTTGGACAATGGTACATGTATTTTATCGACCTATTTACAAAGAATGCGACAAGGGCACATGGCAGCCCTTGAAAAATATAGTGTATTTGTTTCTTTTTGGTGATTTACACTGAAAACGAGTCTCCGGACTTAGTGGGTTATCCATACGGATGCAAACATTGTCCTTAACCTGTCTAACTCACAATATGAGGGTTATTCAAGTAGCCAAGGGATCAGTCTGCAATTAAAACCCAACGCTGGCTGGGTTTGAACCGGGGTCCAACCTCTATTATATTTTTGTTTTTTTGAAATTACCTATTTGAAACCATCTTTCTTGTGACATGGATGATTATTTGAATTTCTGTTCCTCATTACATTAAATTTGAGATATCTGTATTCACATCGCATCCGAACCTGAAATTCAGACTGCGTTTCAGATGCACTGAATGCCAGCATCCCAATTCTTGCACACCGATTCGATTTTCTGATCGCTTCCGTAGGCCTTCCAATCTGCAAATTTGGATTCGGTGAGAATGCACCTTAAGATGGCCATTATGAAAATTTTGGAGGAAGCTAGATGTGATAGTTCATAATAATGAATATTCAGTAGTGTATAATTTATTCTAATATTAATTAACCTAATCATTGCTTTTCCTCCGATGTATAGGCACATGCTGGATGTTACATGCAATTACCTCAGACATGTACTTTTGGGGCCCTAGCTGAAATTCTTATGCCTCAGTCTTGCCTTTCCATGCCTGTTACCAATGCTTTTGTCAAAGGAGATCTCGCCTCCAAAGGTACAGTAAATCGTTGAAAATATTTGTGTACATCTCATTGTGATCTTCATGATTATTGTCTTATTTTGACAATCTCTTTGTCATTCATTTCTCAGATGACAGAGCAGGTTTTGGAAAGCCTAAATAATTGTCAAATCTGGGGCATGTTGATAGACTATCAAATAGTCTAGACTATGAAATTGATGTATACCTATATATGGTCATAGTGTGATGACATCATGACCATGCATGTCATGTTTTTCTCCCACAAAATTTTGTAGTTTGGCCAGGGCTTTAGATGAACATGATGTTGACCATTCAATGTTAGAATGAAATGCATTTTGATAATTATTAATTTTTTTCTTTATGAGAATATATATTTTTCGCCCATAACAGAATGAAATGGCTGTCAACTTGGCTGTTATAATCATGTTTGTATGAAGGATTAAGATGTTATTATTTTTTTGCTATAACATGACATTGATATCTTTGACAGTTTATTGTTTTGATTTTACCCGCATAACTAGTAGAAATACACCATTTTCGCTAAATTTGAAATGAAAATTTTCGAGAACCTGGCAACTAAAACTGGGGACATTCAGAAGAGTAGGCATTTTGCTATGCGTAGTTGCATGTGCATCTGTGCTTTTTCACTGGTGTACAATCTTGATGTAAAGGCTTAGGCTAGTCTTTGAAAAAAAAAATGGCAAAAAAGAAAATAGGGGCACATGAAACCTGCAGCATGTTCTTGCAGTTGTTGTCAAAGTACTCAAAAGAAGATATATGTCTAAAAACAAAATTTGCTCAGGTTAGGCTGCTGGGTGTCGCCAAGTGAAAGTTGTGAGACGTTTCAAAATAGACCCGGTAAAATGGTGTATAGCCCTATGTCTGCTAACTTGAATAATGTAGTCAGGCTTTCTGTACTGCAGATAGACTGCCTCGAAACACCTACTGTGCTAATTTGTAGTAGATTACTGATAGGCCTAGATCTTAGTAAGTGATTGCCTCATTAGCATATTTTCGAATAAGAAAAAAAAATACCAGAATACACTTAATACTGTAGTTGCCAACTGTCACAAATTTTCTCTTAATGGGCCAATAGTTAAAATCAACTGTTAGTACTGATAGATAGTAGTAGTTAGTAGTTGTAACTGTTATGAGTTCATTAATTTTCATGCTAAATCAAATAGAGTAAAATACATGTTTATTAATATTGATATCTACTTGATCCCTGAATACAGCTAAACTGAGCACCTTTAGTAGCTTCATCTTCACATCATTCCACTACAGGGGCTAGAATGAACCATAGCATCGGGGCAACTCATATGCTACTGAAGATGCAATGGGGTCTTTAAACTGCACATAAGCCAGGTGTGAATACTGGACCTCAGTCTTTAAGCCCTTATTTAAGAAGACTTCTTTTTACCAACTTGAACCAGCAATGATGATAAATCTGTAGTTAGCCTTACTGCTTAGCCACTCAACTTGCCTAGTCTAGCACTGGTGTATCTCTTATACAAATTAAAATCAAGTTTGAAAATGAGATGATAAAATTGAAACATTTAATTCAGCGGGTTTGGTGATGGATCACATCAGGAGGGCGGTAATTCCCATTGTGCTAAGCCCTGATATACAGTAGTGTTGTTGCTTAATTAGACTATCTTGTAGTGTAATACAGTTTGGCTGCATTATCCTTGACCACCTTTAAATATTCAAACATATATCTTGGGTTCAACATCCTCATGAAATGTACTAAAAAATTAATAGATGGCCTATGAAAACAATATCAACTATTATTTTTTAATTAAGTTCTTTGAAATATGGTAGCTTTTACCACACCAAAATCTACAATGCATGAATTGTATTTCAAAGTAGTGTGCATGGTTTGTGCCTTGATTTCAGTCAGAAGCTAAATACTACACTCCATCCTCTAATTTCTAAAGACCTATAAGTGCATGTTCCCTTGAATGAAGTTAACATATGAAACAACTGATGGTGTACCGTGAAATCGCTCTTAAAAAATGTTGCTCTTGAAAAATGTTGCTCTAAAAAAAGCATCTTAGCAGCTTCCTTGAGGGTCAGTTCACACTGTCAAATTTGATGTGACAAATTTGTGTGATTGTCCCATATATGGGCATGGTACAGTTATTTGTCACATACAATTTGGATGTGTGACAGAGCTTGAGGACACTTGATGTTATTAATATTTTGTGGCTGATTTGTACCATGTGATCATTTGTAAAAGGTATAAAGTGGTAAAGAAGGAAGGATATTAGAGATAATGATAATTATTATTTTTTGGTCGGTGTCATCTTTCACGGTATGAATTTTATTTTACTTTGAAGATGAATTACCAACACTTAGTGATGTGATTTTTATTCACCACTAATTAGTAACATAATGGGTAACATAATGAATGGTACATATTGAATTCGGAATTAGTGGTATTTACCCTTTGAGATGAAGAGCCTAGCTTTTTGAATGAATGGTGTACATCCTTAAGGATGAGTGGCATCTACCTTTCAAGATGAAGGGCCTAGCCTCTGGAATGAATTGTACACAACATTTGGGATAAGTGGAATCTACCTTTAGATAAATGGTATAGCCATAGTATGAATTATCCATAATGTTTTGCAACGTGGCTTCATGTTTTTCTCATCACTTTTGTAACATTAGTTGTCTCTTGCATGTTTAATGTCATTTCTTCCAGCAGGTAAAAAACCCAAAGTGTCTACGTTTTTCGTTCCGACCCCGCCCACGTCTAAGCCAAACAAAACACCTCGTTCACGGCCTGTATCTGATGCGCATGCTTCCCGTCAAGCAAGACGTCGATGTATGCACCTGTAGTCAAGTATCTTTTGACCCTATTTCTCTAACATTTTCAATTTTGGATGCTAACTAATTGCATGCTTGCACCATCTCCTTTAGCTGGGAAAACCAAAATTCTTTTCAAGCTGCAAGATTTAGTTTACATCAATAAAACCTATTTGCTTTTCACTTCTTATTTTTGGCTGGTATACACTAATAGTGCAATATAACTTGCTCTTTTCTCTCTCTCCTAGACTTTGATATAGGGTGACATGGATAATAAATCTGGTGTTTTATAGCTTTATAACTTATAAATACATTTTTTCTCTATTAATACTGTTGCTGCCATCATCTTAATGGCCTTCATTTATCAAATATTCACTACCATCACCATCAGTATCATTGCCATCTTAATGATGGTGGCAGTTGTGTTGTCATAACTATCATCATTATAATGTCCCATCATTCCTGCCATCTCCACCAAACACCAATTGTGGTGGTGATAGTGATAAATCATCATCAAAAGGATCCTATCATTCCATTCATCACCAATAACACCATTGATTATTGTGATGGTTGAAATGGTCCCATCATTCCATTCATCACCAACAACACCATTGATTTTTCTTTTTCTGTTGTCTTGGAAAGTGCATAGAGACGAATGTTTTATGCGCGCTATACATGTGCACAATCATTGAACATTGATGATGGTATGATCCCGATGGTGATCATCATCATCCTTAAATATGAGGTCATTTCATGTAGCCATTGTCATGGTACAATTGCCACCATCATTCCACATGGCCACTGATATCACAGTTTTCACTTAGTCATATTTATCCCATCATCACCATTTTTATCAACACTATTCTCCTGATGGGCAGTATCATTTAACAGCCATCAACATCATCCACATTGCAGATTTGTTTTTCTGCTTAATAATATTATTTAAAGAAAGTTTATTGCTTGGGTTCTATTATATCATATTATAGTACTTCAATATGCTCTGCTTTGATTTTTTTGATTTGTGTTTTTTACATTACCAACCATATTGACTGATTTATTTTTATTACTTTGGTTAAGTTTTTATAGTGTATTATTTAGCCTAATATTAAGGTATTTTATTGTTTTATATTTTTACTTCATTGCTGAAATGATATACATTATTTAATTTTAGGAATTTCACTTCTAATTTTGAAAAAAATGTTACTGGACTAATTTTTCTTTAGATTACAGATATATAGCCACAAACATGACTTGTTTTTTGTTCCAATGTACTTTTGACTATGACTGGCCTCTCAAAATATGCAACATTTGTTTATTTTACACCGTGCTACCTTTCATAGTCCAAGTTATGAATATAAAACCTAAATAATATTTAGTCAACTTATTGTTTTTAAAGCTTAGCAGTTCATTTTTACAATTTTATTATAACGTAAACATAATTTTAATATGTGAAGTGTGGTCATTTCATGTCAGTTAATTTAAAATTTTGATGTAGATATTTAATATCTGGTACTTTTACAACACTGCTTTGATGCATAATGTTGAAATACTACTTTTCATCTCTTATACACATCTTGATATCGATTACATATCGACTACTATTGGTGAGCTTTCACACACGATTTTACTTTGCGATTGGGTGTCGCAATTGCTACAACCGATCGCAATGCGATGCTAGTCTGAATGGGGTATTAGTCATATTTATCCCATTATCACCATTTTTATCAACACTATTCTCCTGATGGGCAGTATCATTTAACAGCCATCAACATCATCCACATTGCAGATTTGTTTTTCTGCTTAATAATATTATTTAAAGAAAGTTTATTGCTTGGGTTCTATTATATCATATTATAGTACTTCAATATGCTCTGCTTTGATTTTTTTGATTTGTGTTTTTTACATTACCAACCATATTGACTGATTTATTTTTATTACTTTGGTTAAGTTTTTATAGTGTATTATTTAGCCTAATATTAAGGTATTTTATTGTTTTATATTTATACTTTTATTGCTGAAATGATATACATTATCTAATTTTAGGAATTTCACTTCAAATTTTGAAAAAAAATGTTACTGGACTAATTTTTCTTTAGATTACAGATATATAGCCACAAACATGACTTGTTTTTTGTTCCAATGTACTTTTGACTATGACTGGCCTCTCAAAATATGCAACATTTGTTTATTTTACACCGTGCTACCTTTCATAGTCCAAGTTATGAATATAAAACCTAAATAATATTTAGTCAACTTATTGTTTTTAAAGCTTAGCAGTTCATTTTTACAATTTTATTATAACGTAAACATAATTTTAATATGTGAAGTGTGGTCATTTCATGTCAGTTAATTTAAAATTTTGATGTAGATATTTAATATCTGGTACTTTTACAACACTGCTTTGATGCATAATGTTGAAATACTACTTTTCATTATGCGTGGCATTGTGGTCAGAGGTCATGAATACATTGGAATGGATTATGAAACAAGAGTGCATGATAAATATATTAATGGTTTAATGGTTATTATATATTCAAATTTTATCTACTTTATTTTTTATTTTAATTAGTATATATGCATATTGATTATTGTATGTATTTCCCTTTACACAAGACTTGATTTCTCTGTCCATTCTTTATAAGGCCTGTCCAGTCAACCAGAATGGCGCCCCCTGATTCGGCTTAGCTCTCTTCTCTCTTCTAAGCATGTCATCGCAGGTAACGTGTGTAGCAAAGCATCTGTTCAGTCATGTGACTTTGCCAGACCCAGTATCAGCTGATGATATCCTGCCTTCCCATTGGTCATTCCAGTTTTTATTTTTATGCATTTTAGTATCAGATCAATAAGTACCAGTAGAAAATTTAATTTCATTTTCCTCTCAAATTTTATTTATTTTTAATGTCAATATATGTTTCAAATCCCACAGATCTGTATCAACACTATTGTAGTTATCTAATTTATATTAACAATTCTAACATATTTATTGTCTACCAAATAGTGATTATGAAATTGTTGTAGTCCCATTATTAACTCAGCCTGATCAATGTTTACTAATAAGGCAAGGCTAATGGGTGGTTGCTGGGTAGTGGTAATGGTGGTTGTAATTGGGTAGCAATGGTTGGTGGGAGTGGTGGTGGTTATGGTGGCAACTTCTGCTAATCATGATGATGTTAATGATAATAATAATAATAATAAATATAATATGATAATTTTAATGATAATGAATGATTATTCTGATGATGCCTAGAATAACAATGATAACAAGGAATAGAGGGATTCGGCGATGTGCGTCATGTGACCTAACTTGTGTGTTGGATATCAACAATCGACATGCACAGCAGCGTTTTACATGGAGATTGCTACTGTGGCTGTCCCTTGTTATTGGTGTAAAGATCATCATAATTCCCAGTAAAATATAACAAAGCGATTGGAAATTAAACTTGAGAATTTTACCTTAATGGTGTGGTAATGCTGTAAAGGTTACTGGCTGCAAACATAGAGATTTTTCAACAAATGTTAGACCTAGCACCCACATATCTGCTACTTGGTTAGGTATACAGGATGGTCTTCGACCCGCTGTTAGGGCTAGCTAAAGTTTATGAAGGAACACTTAAGCTTCAAAGCATATAATCATAGGAGAACGCTAGGATAAGTAAATAAACACTGATTTGAACAATCGTATTGCCTTTCCTAGCCATTTATTTCTCACGTTAACAGTGAGTGTTGGTTTTTGCAACCATAACATCATCTTTTCCTATACTATCACACCGTAATGTTTTTCATGTAACTGTATACCCAAGTTATGTCACATGACTGCCTACCAACAAACATCGCCGAATCCGTCTATTGATGTTGATGATGTGAAGGATGATGATGGTGATGCTAATGATAATGAAACTGTTGATAATATTAATGATGGTAATAATTATGGTGATGGTTATGCTTATGATTATAATGATTATGTGTTCTTGGTAACAATGATTATGATGATGTTGATGATGATATGATTATGATCATTATAATAATGATCATGTGTTGATGATGATAAGGATGACGGTAATGATGAGGAAACTGATATTAGTGGTGGTGATAAAGCATATAAAAAAGAATATGTTAATCGGTATATTGACTTTATGCATTGTAGTTTTTAATACGCCAATGATCAAATTAGGGTACATACAATGAATGTCTATATCTTCTCTATGTCCACTACTAATTGTTCTGATGTTGAAAATGGTGATATCAGATTCTGTTCACAAATATTAATGTCATAAATTTTGGGAGGTAAAATGATTCTCTGGTGAATAATGTATATATTCTAATGGTTTCTGCTTCTAAACCTTCATAGTACATAAATTTACTTTACAGTAAGAATGAATAAAAAGTAAGTAAATGTACTCTGTGTTTTCTCTTCAGATCTGAAAGCCAATATGATGGACAACTCGTCTGAAAACCGGGCAAAAGATGATTCGGAAACAGGTAAAGAGCCACATGCAATCACGATGGTTGACTTTAACTATGCCCATGGACTGTTAAGGCAAGAGAGTGATGTCAGTATGATAGAGGCTGGCCTATTTTGTGCGTGCCCAGATAAACCTTGTCCAGATAAAGGTAGAGATAAAAAAAACCTCTGCGTCAGAAAAATCCAGTGGCTCAACTATTGTCTAGTCTCCACTAACTGTCATTTGCTTGCTTTTTTGGCCGTTTGTGTTTCATTTATACTCAGTCCTACAAAAATTGAATGAATGCTTACGAGGTGTGTTATGAGACTTTGCCAAGCTGATTCCGGGGTGTTGTAGTTTGCTATTATTATTTCCTCGAAAATAGTTCATTCACTTTTTAACAGTTGTTTATGTCATTCACATTTGCAGAAGATTTTCACATATTTTTTTTCCATATTGTTAATAACCAATCTAATAATTGTTGCCATCCTATATTAAAATGTGGCACGACTAACCTTATCCGTTTTTAATTAAAATCTGTTATTTTAAAAAATTGTCTGGTAAATCCTACCTTCCCATGTATAAAAATACACCTCACCATCCTATTTTAAAATATGGCACAAAACTAACCTCATTCGTTTCTAGTTTTATTCGAACCTGTTATTCTGAAAAATGTTTGGTAAATCGTGTGCCCTTCCCATGTATAACCAAAAAAGTACCATCAATCTGGTAGCTATGAGAATCATGGGTAGTCTGGTTGAGGTCATTGCACTTACCTCAAAAAGCTTACTTTGTATAGATGAAGAAATGGGGGTTTGGAAATCTCTATAGGTAAGTCAAGAAAATCTGAGACATTTGTTGCACGTATATTTTAACAAAAACCACGCGCACTTAATCCAATACTGCACAAATCTACGATGCTGCTAGTGTAGCGCAAGAGTTTTGATGTTTCGTTATTTTTTCAATGTCCTTTTTTCGTTTTCCATCATCATAAGTGTTTCGCAAGGTAATTCAATTTGACCTGTCTAGTCAAATATTCTGCTACGCTAAAAAATATTGCCATTAGATGACATTTAAATAATCAACATTTGGTAGCATTATTTCGTTTTATTCATGAAAAAAAATTATCTTGGAAACAGATTAACTAAAATATTGTTTATAAATTTGCATGGCAGATAAACAATACTGTAAATTTGCAGTACAAATTTGTAAATAGTTGTGGAAAAAAATTGAGAGTATCTCAACATTTCACGTAGGTTGCTATATTCTTTAAGAGAATGATCAACTAATTAACATTTCTCTCCCTAACAGAGGATACTTTTTGAAGATGATACAATTTCCACAAAATTGATTAAAATTCATGTACTTTTAGTAGTATTTATTTGACTAGACATGGAATTGTCCAAGTAGAGGAACATTAATGCCATAATGTTTAAATTTCATTGTGATAGCTGTGTGGCTATAGAAGTGTTGATAAAAGCATTTTTATTATAGGATTTTTGTATTGTGAGTAGAATTGTAATGTCATATTAATGGCACTCTACCTGGTGGCAGGTAGTCAGGTTGCGTTAATAAAACTAGTTCATAATGTCACATGGTATGAGAGATACCCTCAAACACAGGTATACACACACCCACACAAACACATTATTTTATAGTATTGTTAATATATCATTAACAATAACATAAAAAAAATGATAAAAGTCTTAATACTACCATAAAATAATGCATTTTTATGGTATTGTTAATATTGTTATTATTAATCAGTATTTTTGCTAGTGTATAATTAAGGGAAATATATATTAATAATATCGGGTGTAGTCTGATGGTTAATATTTAAGTTTTTATAATATTAATATTATTGCTATTATTAGTTTTTAGAAGGAAGGAAAGAATTATTTTTTAACAAACAAAATTACATTTATTTTTTCCAACTTATTACTGCTTACCTAGAAAAAATACACAAATTTATTTTTATTTACATTCAAATAATATACAATATAGTATAGCATAATGAGACATTGTTGCTTCACCCATAACAGATTGGATTAGTCTGTTTATTTAAACTCTGATTGGATAATGGTCTGTTGCATTAATTATAGGATAGAAATTATGATTATTGTGTTTGAATATATCCAGAAATTAATATAATGCTTATAGTATGATTCATGGTCAGGTAATATTATCCTCCTATGCCAATATTAAAATCTAAATAAAACAATAGCATTATGAATCAAGGACACTGTAGGAACAGAAGGAACTTAAAGTAAATTTGAAAATCAGGGCATGATTTAAAATAATATAATATTATCTTAATTGATAAAAAAATTAGAGGTTACAAACATAATTTTTATGATGTATTAGAAAAATATTAGCGATTTTTTTGCAGAAACATTTTTGGAATTTCTGGGAAAATCCGAAAGTGATTAGGTTTTAGAATTAGAAGGGGAATACTTTCATAGTAAGGGACAGTAGCATTGTGCCCCGTTCCGCATCCGTTTCAGCCCGTGACCTAAATCCAAATATTTAACACTCAGCCACGACCCATTGACCTCAGGCTCTGCCAATTGATAAATATGATTATTATCGTGGTCAGTTTTGCCTGCTTTTAGTCGCTATCATGCATTCATTGCTTCCCTACTTTATTTAATTTGGTCTTTTAATTAATAGAAAGATGTCATTTAATAGTAAAAAGTATGAAAATACCTAGTTATACCTTGATATTCTGGAATCGAGCATGTACATTTACATTTTGAGCATGTGCGAAAGAGATTGGTGTTCACACTTGAATCACGCACTTGATTCTTTTTTTTTTTTCTGTAGTTTTATTTTATACATGTGTTTAGAAACACTGTTAAATAGCATTAACACACCAAGTATTGTTTTAAAATGAATAAAATGCAATATTTATCGGAACATAAAGCGATTCTCTTTACGATGTTGTTATTTTAAAGGAGTTTTTTTTAACGCTAAAGAAAGTCATTCCGTACCATCTTCAGATTCAGAATAACTTTTTTTGGGAATTAAAATTTGAAAATAAGTGTACATTGTACAATGACGTGTGTCGCACCAAAAATTTAGTACCCAGACTCGTTAGTACAATGGTTTATTTCTTGAAAGAAAGTTCATCAATCCGGCTTTGGAGCGGCGATTATACAATCCTCAAGGTGTCATAACTTGCTATTTTAAGCTTTTTCTTCTACACGAGAATATAGAACAATAGAAATCCAGCCTTTAATTGTGGTCGAGAATGGTGTTAGAAACTTTGTCGCAAGCCCCCTGATGTTTTGATACTTTTTTTTTCAACTTTGATCCAAAACTTTACCAATGGCTCCTTTTTAAGTTTACCAGAACAGGAATGTATTCGCACGGTATATGTCAAGCTAACTCACATGCATCCGAGTTCTGGTGTTGGCATTCTTTTGTTGGCACTTTCGTTTGTTACCATCAATTTTTTTTTCTGAAGCGATTGCATGACCCATCAACATTTTTTCACAACCCAAACATTGTGTCACGACCTATAGTTTGCGGAACGGAGGCCTAGTGGAAAAGATAAGATCATAGGGACAGTATAGTGCCATAGGGGAGAGATATTGATCATGTATGCTAGATGGCAAATATTTTTTTGCCATAGGGAGATAGGATACTGCCCCAGTTGGGAGGGGTAATGTCTTAGAGGGAAGCGGAGGGCTGTACCCACCAAAAGGATGTGAAAATGCTGAAGAAAATAGCAATAATGCCTTTATTGCGGAGGGATGATGACATAAGGAAAGGAGTAATGGCCCTAGGTCATTAATTTTCCTTTAACTCATAATGTCCTCATTAATCCAGTTTTCAATTAGGCTAATGTATTCACGCGACATGAAAAGTTTCGACACTACATAGGTAAGCGAAAAGGTTCGCAATACGCAAAAAGTAGAATTTGTTCAAACTCCAAAATTCACTGAAGCTAAACAACCACAAGCGAAAAAGCAAACAATCTGATGAAGGACTCATGTATGTAAATTAAACTGCGCATATGTACGGTCAAACGCTTTTGCTTCACATGAAAAAAGTTTGCCTAGTGAAAACCGGTTTTATGTTCCCTGGAGGGATAATGTTATCGGAGTATGAAATAGTGTTTGAAGATAGTACAGCTTTTAGACAAATTGACATATGATATTGCCGTAAATGGAAGGGGGGAAATACCATAGATGAAAGGGGTTAAATCGTATTTAAATATACCATTCCATATACTGCCTTAGAGGATACAGACGCTGTCTTTAAAGGAGTTGGATTGATTGTATGCCTAAGCACTTTTACATTAGAATGAATATTATTTTGTAAATCTCATGGCACATACTCCTAGTACACTTGTGTTCTGGTAGTATATATGAATTTAATATCTAGATCATTAATAATGATTGTTTTTATATTCATAATAGTGCTTTTGTTGTCATACTGACTACTAATTTGTGTTTTTCATAATTATTACTATTTTGATTGTTCTTTATTTTGATCATCATAATAATATGTTTTGTGGTAGTTTAAATAATATTTAGCAATTATAAGCAAAATATGTACTATTGCTGTTTTTTTTATTCGTGGTATTGAAGTCATCTTTTTTAATTATTTCATAATTGAAACACAATACACATAAATTAGTGGTAGGCTTGCTATTTTTAGTGCGTCTTTATAATATATTATAGCTGTTTAATATGATTGCTTTCATCTCTGTATCATCTAAAAATAATACATTGTAATAATATTGCAGCTATATCTTGCTGAACACCAAACCCCTATTGTTGTTCAATTCATTTCATGCTTTCTAATATTACACACCAAATATTCATATTGTTTTGACAAATATACATATGATTTTTTTTCTGTTTATAATGCTGCATGATGAACTATATATCAGACTTCCATTTGTTTATCATTAAGCTTCATAATTTATGATTTATGTTAGCTTGGGTATATTGAAAAACAGAAAAAAAATACTTGAACCCAATGTTGACTATATGTTTGGCATTTGATATGCATGTATACATGCACATGTATACTGGCTTCATCTCTTTGTTTTTCCATATCATCAGATGTACAGTCCAACCTTGTTTATATATACATAAAGACAATTTCATGAATTTCAACACATATACCATTGTTAAGAAAGTATAATACATACTCCATACGTACTTGGAGTATGTATTATACTTTCTTATCTGAGATTAATCAGTGGACCTTTCGGTTTTATACCATTGTTCCTCATGTGAAGCCCACATTTTAAAATCTCACTGTATAAATTTTTGTATAATTTTCATGCTAAATGATTTATTCAGGTTATAAGCCCACCCCCTAACTTTAAAGGTTGAAAAGAGAAATTTATACTGTTTTAATTTAATAATATTTTTACATTTATTGAACCAAATACTGTATATTACGTTGAAATTTAATATCAAAAGACTAAGCAGTGCCCTGGGCTACCTAGGCTTTCTTAAGTTTCTTTTTTGTAAGTCCAGGCTGAACCTACAGGCATATTATTTGCATTTTATGGCCCTCCTGTACATCCCTACCTCCCTCTCCCCCTTCCCCCCAAACTTGTCCATACTTCGTGTTCTACAGTGGTTGGGTTATACTTGAGGAACTACGGTGGTTAATATAATATTTTTATGCAAATCATGTATTTTTTTGGACAAATTTTAAAAAAATTAATAGAAATTATTAACAAAAATTGTGGAATCTTAAAATAAACTTGGTTAGAAACTGTACGATAATATAACATTTACATCCAGTAACAAAGTGACATTGTATATTTTTATATTTTAAATAATACAATATTCATTTGATTTGAATAGTCCTTGTACAAGTAGTTCATGCTCTAAAATCATAAGACAATAAAACTTAAGTATGGTTAGATAGTGCAAGGAATTTATTATCTTTTTGAATTTTTATATAGTATTTTCCGTTATTGTAGGGGCGTATTTGAGGAATAATCACTCAAAAAGGCATTTTCCTCATTATTTATGATAATGTATTCAGAGACTAAATTGTGGATACTCAGGTTTCACCACACTGAGTGGGACTTGTTCAATATATAATTTAGAATGAAATTCTAAAAATCAGTGACAATTAATTAGAATGCCTCATTCTGATTTAAACTTGTGCGTAATTTTTTGTAATTTGTTTCAACCAGGGAACAGTTAAAAACAAAGTTTAAACAAACCCAAGCATTTTTACATCATGTATTTGCACTACAGTGCATTGTGGGTAAAAATGTTTTTTGTAGTAGTATCTTATATTATTTTTATTTGATTTTTGCACATGTCTTTCTCATTACGTGAAAAAAACCCTTCAAAACAACACTAATTTTAACACTAAAAATAGGTACAGACAAAAAGTTGCTGTGTTAGCTCACAAACCCAGCTAACATATTATGAGCAACATAAACAGAACTTTTTCAAATCCCAGAATGCATTGTGGTAAACTATTTTCACCTGCTATCTTGTTCTTGCATACAGTATATTATTAAAGTTTAAAAATGTGTCTACCGGTAAATCTAGAACATAGTTAAGACACCGAATCACTGTCAAAAAGGGTGTAGAAGGATTAAATACAGTAGATAAGTTTTATGTTGTTACTATACTTATTTAAACAGAAGTGGTTTCTTCCAACTGAGGATCCCTGAGAAGCAGAAATATTTATTTTCACTTGAATATATAGCATGTATTGATGATGAGGAATGAGTCATTCTTGCTATTACATTAAACATTAACAATGCTTTGTCTTGTATGTCTACTGTCCTCTATATCTTAATAACAAAAAAAAAAACTATTATTCTGGAATACTTTTTTATCATTAAGAAATAGATGGCAAAACGTAAGTTTTGTAAATCATGTTTTTCATTTTTTTTTCACCATTATTTTACTTTTATTTTTACTTTTTATTTGATTATTTCTTACTGTATTATTGAGGAATGTTTTTAATATACAAAATAAGTTTTGCCAGCACTTTTGTCTTTTCTCCAAATAAATTGAGTAACATTTACTTTTAGCTCTTAAGTACCCCGTTCTATTCCTTTTGTCTGAGGTAAAAAATTATGTTCAGAGAATAGCATAGAATTAAGTGCTACGTAAAACACAGGTTCCACTCAGTAATTGAGTATGAGCAAAATGTCTCTGAATACTAGTAATAAAAATTGATTATTTTAGAAGCAGTTAAAATTTGAAAGTGACGAAAATTATGTTTGGTTTTTTTCAGCTGACGGTCAGCTTGTGAAGATCTATGATGGCTATCTGTCATTGCAAAAGAGGAATTGCAAAACCATCTCAGTTCCGAAGGATGCAAGTATACAGCAAATGATTGTAAGTCTTCTGTTTTCACTTACTTTTAAATTCTATCATTGTTATTGTTTTTATATTTTATAATGATAATGATTTATAATTTTCATCATTATATACTGTATTACTGAGATGGATATATTTTGGATACCAAGTTTAATATCGTGTATTATTGTTGCTGTTATTGTTTTTTTAGCTGTTATTGTTATTTTTATTATTATTAATAATATTAAGAATAATTATGTAGGCCTATATAAATTGTTTAATAGTATTATGATAATTGATGTTAAAAGTTCTTTGATATTTAGACTATAAAAATTCTTTCATAATAATAATAATAATAATGTTATATTTATATAGCGCATATTGCACATTGCCCCTATGCGCTTTACAGAGAAATAATATATGATTGTTATTAATATTGTTATAGACTTATATTATTGTTGGCACTCTGTTGGCAGTGCATTGGATTGTTATTCTAAGTCACTGGTTCAAATAATAATAATAATAATATGTCGTTCTTATATAGCGCTTCATGCCTTTACAAGGCCTCTAAGCGTTTCACATTACTACCCCAGTCATTGGATCAAACACATATGGAACACATTGAAACACCAAATTAAATTAGTAAATGAAATTATATTATCATTCCATAAATTGCAGCTAGTAGTAATCAGCGCAGGTTGTGTTGGAACCTACCAGGTACCCACTTGTACTCCTGGGTGGAGAGAGGCAACCGTAGATAAAGTGCCTTGCCCAAGGACACAAGCGATTTGCACAGCCAGAGTTTCGAACCCCCGACCTCAAGGTTGGGAGTTCAAGCCACAACCGGTGCGCCAACCGCTCCTACTATAATCCCTTATCATCTTTATTTTCTCTGCTCCACTTTCAATTCACTGGATGGTGTATTTTCATATTTTATATATTGTTCTTGTGATTAATTCTAATGTTATATTTTTATGATGCTTCTACTTGTATGTTTACTTTTTTGTTTGTAACAACAGGAGGCGGCTCTGAGAGCATATCTTATCAAAGATAATGCTGTATATTACTATTTATCTGCTGTGACTGAGACAGGTAAGTGACGTTGGAAAAATTAATTTAATTTATTAAAATATTAAATGAAATTTTTTTTAAATGCGTATTTATACATATTTTTGTGGAAATATCAAATTTTGACATGATTCCATTTGGATTCGAACCCACAACCGCCAGAGTTACTAGTTTGGTATCAAAGCATTAGACCAGTAAGCATATTGAACCAAAATACCTACTTCACTAATATGAATTTGTTGTGAATGATATTAAAATCGTTTGCATCAGGGAGACATCAATTTATTAAATCTCTTACTGATATAAGTTAAAGAATAATTCCTTTTTTCCAAAGAATATACTTTGAAGTAAATTTCTTTATAACGACTCTTTGTAGATGGAGAAATAACGGAAAAGAGATTGAGTGATCCTGATAACTTAGCAACCTTAACTAAGGTCTCAATGGGAAAAGCGCCTTCACTGTTTCTTCGCTACGAGGACAAGGACACCCGCCGTGGAACAATTAAGGTTTTCTCAAGTGAGCTAAAGTAAGTGTGTTTATCTTTTTTTATTATTATTTATATTGATATCATTTGAACTTCAGAATCTTATGGAACTTTGATAGTATAAAGATAGTAACCAAGGTTTAAAGAACCAATTAAATTCTTTCGAAAAGTAGAAATCACCGTAAATATTATTGGTTTATTTGAGATTTTGTTTTATATTTTATTGGCCAATACTTCATTAATGTTATCAGGGTTGAAGTCGGGCACACACTGCATTGCACTGCAGTCATACGACCGCCGGCCAATGAATCCAACTCAGGTCTCTGAGCGCTAGACTAGGCAATGCCGTCTGCTAATACTCTGGCAGTCTGAATGGATCCTCATTAAAAATAATCTGTTGCGCATGCGCTGTGACGTTACATTTTCTATCGAATCGTGTCGACCAGTGACGTTGGCTTAGTGAATGGCTAGCTTTTGATTCACCTCTATAAAATTATGTGATCTTTAATATATATGTTTCGTTTCTCCAGTACTTCAGTGCCCAGACCGATCTCTATTAATTCACATATATCTGTGGAGGAAGTTATAGAAATGGCATTACACAAGTTCAGAATTGAGGTAAGAACAAACTATGTCTTTCATATTATCAAATTTTTGTGTTGAACATATTTGTAGGAAATACAAGAGAATTTGCAAGTAAGTTAAAATCTCTATCCTGTTATTCTCCGTGGATGCCCATAATGATCAACTTTACCAGAAAGTGAAATTACAGTTTCATTATTATGGAATTTTAATTTTTCAACTAGAGGATTGACAAAAAGGAAAATTGTAAGTTTCAAAGAATATGTGTGTCTGTAGTTTCAACTGCACCTAATTATGTCAAAGGTGATATAATCAAACAATTAGTTTTGAAGAACTGTGTGCAGGTTGAGGTTAGTAGTAGTTAACTACAGGTGTTTCATGCTAATTATGAAACACCACACCTACACCTTATATTCCAATCAGAATAATAGGCAAATGGAAGTTTTAACTTCAGTTATGAAGCTTAGATACAAATTTAATATTTTAGAGTTAGACTGCATTGACACATTGACTGCCAAGCCCTTTTTCTAGTTTCATCCCATACACCAAGGTATAAAGGGCACCACCATAATGAAAATCATTCCTGCCAACTGTAATGAAACACAAACATACGGTATTTATTTTTAGATGATTACTTCCAGGTTCTTTCCTGAACCGCCAGGGTGAAAGTTCGCATTCTGGCGACCACTGCCAGCGAGTTGACTTGCAATACAATAATGGTTTGTTTAGACAGGTGTGGACGTAATCTCACTGCATTTAGAGGCCTAAGTGATCGCTGTCGGACGTAAACTCACGTCCCTGGCAGCGAACGTGTTAAACTGATAAGAGTAAAGTAACATGGCTGTGTACTTCTTTCAAAAAATATATATATGATAATTGGTGTTATGTGATATTATGCAATATTTTTCAGGATGCTGATCCCAACGATTATTCATTGTGGGAAGTAGTTTTGGACAAGGGCGTACAGGAGAGGGTCATGGAAAGATATGAGTGTCCCTGGCCCCAGCTTATCAAAGCCAGAAGGGTAATTTCACACCCCTGCTCGTGTTAATCCCTGTGCAATATTTTTTCTATATTCACTGTGTGTTGTTAGTCTATCATTCTCTTGATATTCTTGTTGCACTTTTTTTTATAGATAGTATAACGTATGCATGAGTCGTCACTATGTTTGTATTCAAATGTATAATTAGCATATAGTACTTATTCGTTATTTGTTTCAGCACATACTTGCAGTGTCCAAGATTATCTATTTTATAATATTATCAGGGTGACAGTTTGTAGGTTTACTAATATATATTGAAAAAAATAGCTTTTTCCAACCATCTCAGCCAGACATCATTAGAAGGTGATGGTATAAGCTGTGTTTGCATTGGATTAATATTAGTGAGGTTTTCCAAACTTACAAAAACGATAACGAATACTAATACGTCATTATCGTACGTCAATAGCTGTAGGAGCTAAATATGGTCCTTGATTCATGAAAAAAGCATGAATCGTCTACGTTGCAACAGGTGTGCTACAGTAGGGAATTGGTTGTCTAAACATTTGATGATGTATTTATTATCGTTTTCGTAAGCTTTGCAAAAACTCCCTGTTAACCAAGATGAATGGTAACTGCGCTAAATCATATTGTTGTTAACAGTTTAATTTAAATACCCATTTCGTTTGCATTGACTTAATATTGATGAAGATGAATAGTAATTAGGCTAAAATCATATTACTGTTAACAATTTTAATAACATTTGGTTTTACAGCTTTACTATTCGCTAGCCAAAATAGTTTGTGAGATTTGAGTCCAAATTACAACTTTTGTGTGCATAAAGTGGTGCATAAGGTTTTTGATTACCCACACTGTTCTGGAAAAAACAGCGTGATTATTAATAAGGACAGTGCTGAACAATATTCATTAAAAATGATCGCAAGTGCATACAATATTCTATACAATAATTAAAACCATTAAAGTATATCAGAATAATTACGTTAGAACATTCACATTCTGAGCATGATTCACATGATTAAACTTATGTGTAACTTGTGTAATATTTCCAAGAGAATGTTGTTATAGCTGTTTGCACTAATTTTTTTCTGTAGTCAACCTGACCAGGTTTTCATCTGTATGTGTGTGAATTTTAAAATGTGTAGGCAATGTAGTTATTATGTGGTTGCTCTTGTTATGAAACCTGGACAGCATTTTCCCTCACTTGATTTGATGATATGCATGCTCCATAGCAATTTACAATGTGTGGTTTTAAAGCATATGAGGAAAACCCATGAACAGCAAACAGAATAATGAAATGAATAATACTGTATAAATTGAAATGTAACAGAAGAGGAATCTGACAGGAAGTCTGAAACTCAGCCTCTACCAGAATTTAAACCCGGGACCTTTTTTTATACATGGCAAAAGACATAACCACTGGACCATGAAGGCATTGTGATGATCCAAGCGCCAGTAGAATTTGAGTTCCCTTCATTCCTTTAAAATGTCAGAAGTCACAATTTCGATATAGCACTACAATATGTGAGGTCTCGCCACAAAATGAGTTTCATGGTTAGAAATTCAAAAATTGAGTTTATATTATATTTGGGTAGATCACATTATAAGTTTTCATTTGGTCTTTGAATGGCTTCCCTACTATAAGTAAATCCAGAGATGTGAGCATTTAAAGTTTAGGTGTATAAGAACCACGTTTTGAGAAAATCAAAGGTAAACTAACCTGTACAAATAATATGACTAGAATTACAGAATATGTGCAGAGAACACTGTTTTGGCAAGAAAATTCACTTACGAAGTAATAAAAATAAAAATAAAATAAAAATATCAAGTTATTCAAAAACATTAAAATCAAAATTTTGTAAAAATGTTGACTTTGGCCTGTTTTGGTGAATATATCAATATGATTTCACCAACGATGCGTCTCATTTCGTGAGGAGACCTCACATATTGCATGTGACTAGACTACCGGACATCTATAAGATACGCCCTCTTCTGTGCATTATTTTCAGCTTGCTTGAGATGCTTGTATATAATGTGATATTATGGCATATAGGAAGAAACCCAGAAACAGCAAGCACAATAATGAATAATATAAATTGAAATGTAACAGATAATGAATTTGACAAAAAAAGAAAAAAACTTGGCCTTCACCAACAAACCCTTCACATATATGGCGATATGTATACTCAATCTTGTCAACATAATTCAAGTGGCAGTATTATAGCCTACCTATGAAGATTTGTGGAGAATTGTCTCCCACACATTGAACAGATTGACCCCCCACTAGAATTTCTGCATTAATTTAATAGCATGTGCACACAGAAGAAATTCGATCCAATTTTATATGGCTTTGTCATTCAATCTTAATCAATTTATTCAAAAATTGACCTCCAAGGATAGAGGTAGAGTATATATAAAATATTAAAAGAATAGGGAACAGTATATAAAATAAGAATGAGAAGGAAATGTTTGAAAGGTATCAGTAAATAATTCAGCAAGTCCATGGATGTAATAGCGTCATCAGTTAAAAGGGGTTTCACACTGCTATCCCATTAGGAACAGCACAATTTTTTTTTATATCATAGTTGAATATTAATGATTTGCTATAACCAGAAATGTTTTCACTAGGTTGGGTTTTTTTTGTTTGTAATACAGTGTACTTCATGGAGTACGTATTCAGAATGTTTCAAGTTTTAACAGAATTATTTGTCAATTTACCTGATCATTGTTAGGTTCCAGGAACTGATCCAGAAAAAATCTTGGTTGGGGGCTATGTGACTTTCGAACCACCATGCCCGGTAAGGGAGGGGTGGGGATGGGTTTGCAGGGTTGAGAGTGTGGTATAGTCAATTGTAAAATAAAATCATATAGAGGTGTAATAGTGATTATATTGGTAAGACAGATAGATGCCTAATAACTAGACTTAAAGAACATTCTTCACGATCTGATAGTGTTATAAATGATCATATACAAAATCGTGAGGCATTCCAATATGTTTTAGGTTCACAAGGTATACTTGAAAATGATAATGTAGCCTGTAATGTAAGTAATAAATTAGGTTTAATATTTTCTAATACTAACATTATTGACAGTTCGCAAAATTGGTCTATACTATGGTTTAAAGAAGCGTTTGCTATACATAGGCTGAAAGCTTCAAAAGAGCTTTCTTTGTTTTTGTAGGTAGCTTTGATCAGTAGGGTAAGAATGCTTTGGTCTTTAGTTTATTCATAACTATGTCACCTACTAGGGGTAATGTTTTGATTGGTCAAACACTTTTGGTACTTGGAAATATGGATAATTTTTCATTCCTGATGATGATGACAAGTAATGTCGAAATATTGAATCCCGACACAATGGCTTGGAGTATGTATTATACTATCTTATCTGAGATTAATTAGTGGACCTTCCGGTTATTAATACACAAACAGTAAAAATAAGTATGACACCACAGTAAAGGATAAGATCCGCCCCATGAGCATATGAACAAATCCTTGCTAATGAGAGTACTAAAGCAGGCACGCACTGCAGGTGACAGTCGTCGTCCGACTCAAATTTGCAGAGAATGCAATGGATCATTTTTATCGACAATCCGCACAGACTGCCACCAACAATCAGCAGATGGTGTCCAGTCATGAAGTGCTTATAGAGAGTGGAGGGGGATTCGTCGGTTGACACTTATACGACTGTCATATGATGCAATGTTTGCCCAGCTTTGTAGGTATCTATGTTGTCTTTTGTCCTTATATGGATACTTAACAAGATACGTGCTAATTGTATTGAGTGGCGGGATGCTTGCTACATTCCCCCAAGCATGTGTCCTGTGTAAAATTGTGTGTTTGCTGTTAAATGTTTTTACACATTTTTTTAGTTGTAAGATAATTCATCTTGAGTTTGAGTTGAATGTGATTTAATATTTGTGTAAAGTGTAATTATCACACATCACTAAAAAAAAAAAAGAAGGTATATCCAAACTTTTTGCACTCTTTTACTGATAAACTTTTGTTGTATAGCTCTTTTGTTGTATTGGTATACTATAAGTTGGTCTGTTTTATGTGAATATTGAGAATTTTGGTGACTGGTAGCTTCTGCAAGTGTAAGCTTGTGATGCACCCGGGCTGGCCACAAAGGCTTCACTGTTAAATAACCCTGAGCAGTCTTGAGGGCTTTGCTGCTGAGTTTATTAATAATATGGGGCTTGCCATGCCAAAACTAGCATTAGCGTCAACAAAATTGAAAAAAGAGTAATATATACACATTTTGAACATTTTAAAGCTATAAAATGATGGATCATTTATTGGAATCGATTTACCTTTGCCAAGTAAGTGAGTAAAAAAGTATTACAGCTTCTCTGTATATAAGTATACAATACGGCCACATTTTTATGCTAATTACTTAAGTTGGTTTTGAGATGGCGAGCTTCATATGGTTTCACAAAAATTGGTCACGCTCCCTTGTGGCACTCCATATTGATGGACTTTATTATTTTGTTTCATTTTATTTTTTAAACTTTATTTTTTATAGTAATTTTTAATGTATTTTAAATGTTTACCTTGTTGTTCCGTTCTTTTTTTTAACATATTGTACTTTGTATTATATTTTATGTCAAGAGGTTCCCACTTTTATGTTGGGCTCTTGGCCCGTGGTTTCCTCTGGGACAGTTTTGTCGAATTTTTAATAAATTAATAAATAAATAGCAAATTGCCACTACAATATCTTAATTGATTTGCCTAGATTTACACAGTATATTCCATCATCAATATCTAGTACTATTATCTTTTACACAAAATGAGTTTAAGTTACTTTGTAAAATATTGGTTGTGATATAAATATCCCCTACCAAATGAAATTTTGAAGGTCTAATAACATTCAGCCCTCTTATATAAACCACATTAGAGTAAAACAAAATGAACAACTAAAATAATTCACTTTGACATTAAACAATCTTAAATACTATTTTCCATTAAGTTAGTCACAATTGAGATTATTTAATTTTAAATAAGCCTATCATTGATAAAATAAAACCTACGATATATACTGTATTTTTGGAAGAAACAATAATAGAAACATGTAATGTAAATTAAATTAAAAATACTGTACATAAAATGAAATGGTTTTTATTAATTGATCAAACAATTAAGACTTTTATGAATAAAATATAGTAATCTCATTCTTTTCTTTTATAGAATTCTTTGAAACAAATGAAGCAAACACGATATTATTTACGCAAAAATGAACAGCCCACCCAGGAGCGAGCCCGCATGTACGTGGGAAATCTACCAATCAATTTGTCGGAGTTCAAATATAAACAGATCATACAGAAAATGCTAGACGAAGGTAAGGTCAAAGTTTGCAATTTTTTTGCTCACGCTTGCCAGTTCCAAATATGGAAATCTGTTTCGTCTGTAGTGGAGTGGACCAAGGGGCAGACTATGAACCTCTGTCAGGTTCCCAGAATAAAATCCCCTGCTAGGGTTGATGGCTAATATTATGTTTTTAAACTATAGTATTAGAGATTGGCTATCACAATAATGATATGTGGATAGCAGAATTACTATATTTGGTTCAATGAAATTGTTGTGGGGTCGGACGACAGGGTCCAGGCCTGTCCAAAGGTGGGGGGGGGGGGAAATTGCCCTCCTCCGTTGCCACCTCTGCTTCACTTCTATTTATATAATTTAAGAGGGGCCCTGAATATAAACTAATTTTGAAGCGTCACCTTCTAGTAGAATGTTTGAATTGAAAGTTGTGTAAAACCTGATTTTAGTACAGAATTTGGACCCATACGTACGGTGTTGGACTTAGTGCAAGCTACAGGTCCACTCTTGTTTTTAGCTCTGTTCAGACTATCATGTATGCCCATATATAGTCATAATGTGCCTATATATGGTCATGATGTCATGCCGTGCCTATATATGGTCGTGATGTCATGCCGTCATTACTGTATTTAGGATATGTAACACGTTTTTGTCAAATAATATTTAATATTCTTCACAGGACTTTAATTTAAAACTACAGTATACGTTTTAGGACAATCTGTAAAAAAAAGTTTTGTCAGATCAGATGCCAAGAGTGTCTGTTATGGTATGATTCTAAGTAACTTTATTTAGAATAATAATAATATGGATGGGGTGTTCTCATTATACTGACCTTATTTTCGCCTCTCTTGCAGAATCAATGTTTACAAGTATTGATATGGTCTATGCACAGTATGGTAAGTGATAAAAGTTATTGAAGATATCAACTATTTTTAAGATTAATTTAGTCGAAATTTGAAAATGAAATATATAAATAAAAATAATATAGTTATGATTACCTAAGATGTGTATAAGAGACAGATATATAGTAATATTTTTTAATGCACTCTTTGGCTGCTTAGGCTTATTTTTAATGAATTTATAAAATGATTATGCGCTTATACTCTTTCTTGCTAGGCTCTGCTTGTGTGAGCTTTATAGATCACGAAGCTGCAGTGAAGGCTTATTACATCCTTAAAGATACCACCTATGAAGACAAGCTCCTTACCGTCTTATTTCTACCAGAAATCCATGTAAGTTTTTGCAATAAATTATTCAATAAGTAAAGTTACAGGTACTCTCTCCCTCCGGGTCCGAGAAATCTCAAAACTCAATGGCAAGGCAATTGTCTCCCTTCTCAGGCCACACAATCCCTGCTAATTACCTATTTTCTAGTCTTAAATTTGTGTTAACCATTTTCTGATGAACTCTACTCTTTCAGTTATTATTTTTTTGACCTTCTATTTTATTCATCAGTTGGAGATGCTTCCTGAGGATCATTGTCCATTACTTGTCTTTGTGAACACGCGCAGCGGAGGATGCCAAGGAATTGAAGTGCAGGACGCCCTCAGGAAAATGCTTAATCCTCACCAGGTGTTTGACCTGGATCAAGGAGGACCGTTACCTGGGTAAAAAATCACTATTATCTTCTTCATTTTTTATATCTTCATCAACTTCCTAATACTTTTCAAGAATATGTTAATTCTCATTTGCTTATTTAAATGTAAATCATGCAACATGTGAAAGTGGTTTTCTCATAATTAGTCTTTTTTCAGTTGACTTGCAACCACTTGATAATTAACACTCTATCAAGCAATTTCTCTTCCTCATAACCAGGTTTAAGTCTCCTAACCTGGCTATGTAGGTCTGCTAACCTGTTTATGTTCCTGAAAGATTGTGCAAGAATATGTCAATTATTATTTTATTAAATATATATAAATATACAATTTTCAAGATTTATGTTTAGGTTTCCTAACCTGATAATTTTCCTGAAAAGTTGTGCAAGAATATGTCAGTTATTAATTTATTAAATATATATAAATATGTCAATTTTCAAGTTTATGTTTAGAATTAAATTTTGTTTTTGTTTTGTTTCCTAGGCTACATGTTTTTAGTCAGTTGAAAGAGTATAAAGCATTGATCTGTGGTGGAGATGGTACTGTAGGCTGGGTACTGTCCTGTCTGGATGATATAGGCCAAGAGTCTGTCTGCAGCTCACCGCCTATTGCAGTGTTGCCACTTGGTACAGGTGAGATCAAATCAAAACAATTAAATTACAACTGATGAGAATGTAATGAAAATAGATTGATTTGTTTATTAATTGCTTTAGGCCAAGTAAATATAAAAACGTGTTTCTCGTACGAGTGGATAGGGTGAGTTTTCATTTTTTTAACAAAGCAAACATAGTTAATTATCTACTGCAAATGTTCTTGAATATACACTGCTGTCAAAACATGATTTTATTTTCCTCTATGAACACCACTCTTGAATAAGTACTGCCCAGCGTTTATTAGATATGTAAAGAATATGGCACGCTGTGAATTGTGTATTAATGGGTTTTGTACTTTAATTGCTGGTGATTGGTGTTTTGGTTTATGTGAAGCACACTGCCGCCGAATAAATATATCCTGTGAATAAGCACCAACTCTGAATAACCACCACACTGTACTAGTAGCCTACAAAAGTTTTAAGTTTTATATGCACTTATCGGAACATTTACAGTAGGCATATGCCAGGCCTAGACACCAATGCCTACTCATTGCTAATTAAATGCAAAAAAGAGAAGATGGCCCAAAAAATGATGCCGAAAGGGATAAGAGATGTTTTTCTTTTTCTAATTTGATGTAAAATCAAACTGTTTCTGTGATGAATGTATTGCTTTAAATTTTCATAAAGTTAATTGATTGCGTTTGTAGGTAATGATCTGTCGAGGGTGTTGAAGTGGGGTGGCGGATACCAACAAGGTGATGATCTTTACCAAATGCTGCAAACTGTTATTGAGGCTGAAGAAGTCAAGCTCGACCGGTATTCAATCTTTCATGTCTCTTATTTCATCATTTCTACTTGCTAAGTATTATGGACCTGAAGTTGTAAATCTTCAGCTACTGGCAAAATACTCCTATTTGAAACTAACCATATCTGCCCTCTTTTAATCCATTATACCAAAGATATTTGTTTAATTAAAAATATATCCAGATAGTAATCATTATAATCATCACATACTTTTCTTAATAGTAATGTTGATGATAATAAGTTTGTTTTAAATAAAGTTTTCATAGTTTTGTTATAAACTATTAAGCTCTGTACAGATCATCAAATTTCTTTTCAAAAACTGTTGTATGCCCATATATAGTCATGATGTGCTTATATGTGAGGTCTCACCACAAAATGAGACGCATCGTTGGTGAAATCATTTTGAGATGATCACCAAAATAGGTCATAAGTCAAAATTTTACACAATTTTGATTTTAATGTTTTTGAATACTAAACTTGATATTTATATTTAATGATTGTAAACTTTTTAAGTGAATTTTCTTACTAAAACAGTGTTCTTTGCGCATATTCTGTAATTCTAGTCCTATTATTTGTACAGGTTGGTTTATCTTGGATGCCGATTTTCTCAAAATGTGGTTCTCTTACACATAATATTTAAATGCTCACATCTCTGGATCTACATATCCTAGTGAAGCCATTCAAAGACCAAATTAAAGCTTATTATGTGATCTACCGTAATATAATATAAACTCAATTTTTGATATTTTAACCATGAGACTCATTTTGTGGTGAGGCCTCACATATATGGTCATGTTGTGATGTCATCATGACCATATTTAGGCATGTCACATGTTTTTGTAATATATAATTTGATAGTCTGAACAGGGCTTAAGTACAGTTGTTTTCTTGTTGTTTGTAGCTGGACTGTTGTCTTTGAACCTGAAGGCAAGCATACAGAGATTGACAATAAATCTAACTCCTCAAATAGCAGCTCTGGAGATGACATGCCCAACCTCTTCGTCATGAACAACTACTTTGGAATTGGTATCGATGCCGACCTCTGCTTAGGCTTTCACAACGCACGTGAAGAGAAGCCAGAAAAATTTAATAACAGGTAAGAGAATTTGAAGAAGAAAAAAAAAACTATCCACTTAGCCCAGTCAGACATTTGCAAGTTAGTCATAGAGTGGGTACATTTACAAAGAATATTCACAATAAATTATTACATAAATTCATTGGATCCGATAACAATATAGTAATAATTTTCTCCCTTTGAGAATAAAGTTGACTTTGACTTTGAACAAGTTAAAGTTTAAGGTTCTTTTTTGATGATCCAAATATCAAGTAAACGTAAGGATATTAAATTGAAAATAAAGTTCTTAACCGTCTCCCTCAAATTTAAGACCACATGTGGGGCCAGAATATCCATGGGCTTTAACAGCTTTGGTCTAATAGAATAATAAAGATAAAATTTACTAATTTGGGGTGGTTTTTAATTGGAGGGATCTTTGATTAGAGGGAAACCTGTATTTAGATCATCAAAGCCTTAACTTTGTACTTATTTACAATAAATATAATTATTCAGGACTTGCACACACATGACTCATCACATAAAAATAATGTTACTACATTTGTAGTCAATATTTCAAAATAATCAGTTGTAATGATGATCCAGTAATAGGAAGGTAGACTTTAAATTCATAAATTACATTACTTTAATGGTAGGTTAATTGATTGACTGACGATAGTTTATATTATAGACATGGAGTGGTAAGTTTTTGAGTGGGTTTTTTCTTGCCTAAACGGTTATTTTGCTTGTTATGTTTGGTGCCTATCTATTGGATCAGGATGGCTGCACTGTTAGGGGGCGGATTTTGTCTTCTAGACACCCGGAAATAACCTCTGAGGCGTTTTGGGCAATCAATAATTTCTTTTTCTTTCTTTTTTTCTTCTTTTATTTTTACTTTCCAAAAGGGAGCCCCTCTAAATCTGCCCCTGCTCCTTTCTTAAATGCTCCTCAAAATGAAGAGGTTGGTACTCAACAGAAGTGGGATAGATTTTAACTCTCACAAATCAATTGTTATATAAATGATTTATTTATTGGTGATTTAATAGTTATTAATTGATTGGTTACTTACATGGTTAATTATTAATTCTTTAACAATACTAACAACTTTCTTATTAAATAATCAAAATTCTTATAAATCATTAGTTATTTAAATGATTGATTTATTGACTGATTGATTGATTCGTAGGTTATTTTAATGATTAATTGATTGATTGGTTATTGACATGGTTAATTGTTCATTCTTTAACATTTTGCCAACCTCCAGGGTTTATAATAAAATAGTTTATGTGAGACAAGGCATGCAGAAGTTAGGCAGGAAGACCAACTGCCGAGAACTGAACAAAGAGTTGAAAATTGAGGTTGACAACAAACTTCTGAAGTTACCCACCCTAGAGGGCATCCTAATTATGAACATAAGCAGGTAAGTGATTATTATTTTCATGTTAATTACTATTATACATTTTGAATCAGTGGTATATATTGGTGTCTTGAAATGGGAGGCACAAAGTTGAAGTGTGGGGAACCCCTTGGTGATTAAGTTTGCTTCAAACATTTTCAATATGGAGGAGAGATGGGGAGACTGGGAGTGTGTGAGCCTAAATATGCCATGGATTTAAATGTGTGGAAACATGTGGGGCAGTGGGAAGTCATTGGGCTTTCCAATTAAAAGAATGAAGTCTAACTCATTTGCCTAGCTAGTACCCCCTTATTTTACCATTGTTCCCCCATCAGCCTCCTTAAGGTAATATGTCTAGACACTGCTGAGTATGTGTTACATAAAAGTGCTTAGTCCAGTGACGGAGGGAATTTTATGAAGTGTATAAGGCAATGACATTCGTTACTATTAATTTTAATTGTAATTTCATATAATTAAAAAGTCTTTACTTTCTGGTTGTTTTACATTTTATCTTAAGAATGAGTTCATGATTGAACCGAAATATCACAATTTTTTTGCATTAATGAAAATTTACTAATTTCGCATAATTTATCTTTGATAGCTGGGGCTCTGGAGCAGATCCCTGGGGTTCCTCAGACGCCCAGGATGAGTTCCAGCGTTCCAGCCATGATGACGGCATGCTGGAGATTATTGGTCTGACGGGGGTCATGCATTTAGGACAAATTCAGGGAAGTCTCAGGAATGGTATCCGGCTTGCTCAAGCGTCTCACGTAAGTATAGAGTACCTTCATTTATTAAAATTTGTTAAATGTAGACACACACCATTATTATCTTGATGTTCTAGGCCTACACAAGCCATGTGTATTCTAAGCATCTACTCCCATCTAGGCCCACAGCAGTTCAAGAACAGTAAGCCTAATTGTTTTTTCCCCTCAAAAGCCAAAAGTTCTTCCTATGACAAGGCCTAAGTCTAAGGTTCAAGACCAACCATCGCTTAGCCTAGATATTCCAAATTTTTTGGTTCTTCAGGCTGGGGCAACACAACTCTTACTTCTGCCTAATAAGGGGCCCGATTACTTTCCTAGATAAACTGACTTGCAAATTCACACCCCTCTAAAATAAATGGTACAGTCAGTCCTATTCATCCTGCATATTTCTTTTTGGCCTAATGAGGAGATTTGGATAATATAAAAGTTATTCAATGTTAAATGGGTTTTGTTAATGGGGGCTTTGGGCAAATCTGATATTGCATTTAACCTTTAATTTTAATCTTGTTGTTATGCACTGTTGTTATATTTAGGATTATTATTGTTGTTATGGTCAGTTTCAGGATTATTCGTTATTACGTTTTTACTGTACATCGATTTTCTAAATTTTCTTTTTCAGTATTTGTATATCATAAAAAAGTGTTCCAGGTTAATTACTATGTACTAATATTTTTTTTATCTTGTTCTGTATTATTTTAAATCATTTTACTATTTGTTTGGTGTATTTGTAATCCTTATTAAATATTTTGTTCAGTTCAGCTATATTATAGTATTTGTTATTATAAGTATTTGAAGGCAATTTTTATCCACTGTGAATCTAGCTGTGTCCAAACTGTCACATTTTTGTTTGACAAAATTGTGTTGTATGCCCATATATAGTCATGATTTGATGTCACCATGACCATATTTAGCCATGTCCTAGTTCTTTCTTTCTATGTGAGTAGTTGAATGTATTTTTTAGCCAGTGCATACAACACTTGTTTTGACATGCAAATCAGGAATGCTTAAACCCTTAAAGATAGGATTGTCTGTAGTATAATCAGAAAAATACTCCCAAAAAAAACCAAAAAAAAACTGACAATAAACTGTTGTATGCCCATATATAGTCATGATGTGCCTATATATGGTCATGATGTGATGTCATCATGATCATATTTAGTCATGTCACATGTTTTTGTCAAATAAAATATGATAGTCTGGGCAGGGCTTAGCTCTCTCTCCAGATTATCAATTTTCTTTGTCAAAAAAAAAATGTTTTAATCCCATATATAGCCATGATGTGCCTATATATGGTCATGACATGATGATGTCATGACCATATTTAGGAATGTCACATGTTTTTGTCAAATAAAATGTGGTCAAATAAGCTTCAAAATGAGATGCATTTCCATTTTTGCTGATTTAAATAGTTTTACAGACTTGCAAAAATTGATTTTTATTACCAGACAATTTAATGAAATAATATAGGAACAGTTTGATAATACATCAAGGAATTATTTTCTAAGGTCCACAGTATCAAATTTTATGTGATAAATTTGTGTGGTTTGCCCGTATATGGGCATTATGATGTCATATTATACCCAAACTATGAGCATATCACAGTTATATATCACATAAAATCTTGATAGTGTTCAGAGCTTTATACTATGTTTCAAGTCACAGGTGGGCATAGTGTGGCCAGACAGGAATTTCTTGCGGCCCGCAAAAATGAATTAAAAAACCTATGTGTGCGGCCAACCAAGCAACATTGCCTACAAAAAACACCTTGTTTTTGACAGCCCTACACCGGTCATAATATGTAAAAGTAACATTAAAATTAAGAATGATGTGGTGAAAATAGCAGTGCCTTGGGGGTTTTTGGAAAGTCACTGGAAACATTAAAGTTGGGTAGCCCTCGGTGATAAATTGAAAATTCACTTTGGTCCTCTAAACAATTTTTATGCCACCCCTGTGTTAAAGATGTATTGTCCCAAGCTAAATACAAAAAAAAAATCATAAAAATATTTTTTGAAATTAACTTGCCCATTTTGAAGCAACATAAACTTTATCAGGTTTTTGGTTTAAAAATCAGGCTACACATTTTTTAAATTCAATAATTTTTATGCACAATTTGTATGCTATTGCAATATGAGCTTATTTAAGTTTATTTCAAATTTATTTTTTATGATTTTTTGACATTAGCAAGGGACAATACATCTTTAAGTGAATGCAAATTACTAAAAGATGTATTGTCCCCTAAAAATGACAAAAAAAAATTTAAAATTAACTTACTCATTTTGCAGTAACATACACATTTATTAACTTAAGCATAGAAATTATTTATTTTAAAAATCGTGTACCTTGATTTTCATAATGGATAATGATAAAAATCATACAAAAACTTCCAGAGACTGGAAGTGTTTCTATCATTTTTCGCTGTAACAATAAATTTCTATTTTCAAGTTAATAATTTTTATGTTACTTCCAAATGAGTTAATTTAAAAAAATGATTTTTAGATTTTATTTGTGCTGTTTTTCATTAGACAATACATCTTTAAATAAATTTACAGAGCAAGCAAAGAAAATGTTATGTTTGAAATTTATCAGCTCAACACAGAGTATATAAACACATGTTCCGGATTTTTCATTTAACTTAAGGTTAACAAAAAGTGAAAAAGGCCCTCCCACTATTTAACGTATCTTGAATGTATAAATATTGTTGAATTGAATTGTAATATTGTACTAAATACATAAAATAGGTTGCTTTCTATACCAATTTTGCTATGAATAAATAGACTTCCATTTTTGTTCTTAAGAGGAGAAGATGTTCATTGGCATTTCTTCTTTCTCTCAGATTCGAATATGGATGAATTCTGATATGCCGGTCCAAGTGGATGGTGAACCATGGATGCAGTTGTCAGGCCAAGTAGTAGTCAGCCGGTCAGCACTTCAGGTAATGCTTTACCTCAAAATATGTAACTCACTATGTGCCTGTTTTTTTCTATAATTTAAAACTTGCTTTCAGAATGTCTTGGCCAATGCATGCAGATTTATTGTATTTACTGTTGATGTTGATAGTCTTTATATTTATATGTTTTCAGCTAAAAAAAAGTGTAAATATATATATATATATATTATATATATATTATATATACTTCATTCACTTGAATTCACAAAATCCTAGTGCCAGAAACCAAGGAGGCAAAGCCTGTAAGGTGGTCCCAGAGCTAAACTTAAACTACAGTAAACTATGCTTATTCAAAATTAATCACAAAAAACGAAACAGAAATAAAAACAAGTAACAACCGAGAGGAATGAATGGGTAGATCCAGGTCAATTAAGGAGAATGGTACTTTGCAATAATTTTAAGTTTAAGTTCAGTTTTAAATTGATTGAGGTCAGCATTGGACCTAATAGATTTAGGAAGTGAAAGCCAGTATTTAGGCCCATAATAAAAGACGAGATCAAGGAATGTGAAATGAAGAGGCCTGATGGGTGGAATAAGAATAAATATTTAAATTAAGAATAATTCTATAATATTGATTTAATTTTTTTTTTTGTTGTAGCCACATTTTTGGCAACTGTAATCTCTAAATACTGCATGCTTAATGCTAAACTGTTTTTTTTTTTATTCATTTTGCAGGCCACTATGCTAAAGAAACGAAAACATAGAATAGCACGTCGGAACACAGAGCCCGCCATCAGCGGCGACACTGCAGCACAACGAGACCAGGCAAAGCTTGTGGCTGTGAACAGCGAAGAGATCGCACAGATATAAAAGATAGGAAATGAAGGAAGGAATTGAAATCTCATGTAGAAGAAAAAATCCTAGGCACATGACTAGCGTGTACCATGTGCAGATATTGTAACATGCCAACCAGCTTGTTGTCGTTACTACAAGGATGCACTAGGCAACTGTTACCTTGGTTACTGTTGATGGGGAGTATTGCATGGAAAAAAACGATGGTTGCAGGTTACTAGAGGTGTCACTGTTTGAAAGAGTGTTAATGTAGCGAACCAATCACATCTCACCATACAACTGAAAGTTTGCCGACGTTTGTAGTTGTAGATAGAAGGTTTGTCTGTGCACTTGCCGAGGTCTGAAGAGGGCAAGGCTATTCTCCTAGAACTGATGGAGGCGCTTAGATAAATTTTGATCAGCAGAAATTTGTCTTTCAGTTGACAATTTTACTTGGATGTCATTGTTATGGTTATCACTTGACAAAAAGAAAAACTTTTTTTGTAGAAAATATTTTTTACTAATATTTTATCCTTGTTGAAACAAGCTATTCATTTTGAAACCCAAGAAAGGTACAGTTAATTTTATTTTTATTATTATTGTTATATTATTAGGATAATTTTTAAAGAACAAAAGTATAATATATATTTACCATCGTTTATTTTTGTCTATTTACTGATTATTGATATTATTATACCTTGCTAGTATTACCAGAAATAAATAATATATACACACATTTATATCTATATATATATATATACATATATACATATATATTTTAAGTTTATGGCATCACATGTGTGCATTGTAATTCCAGTCATATTGAATAATTCAGTCCGAGATAATTGTTTATATTATAAGAAGTTGCTACGATGCTGCCCTTTAAACTTTCATAATATGTCGGCACAAATCAGCCTAAGCGTTACGCACACCCCATACCTTGGCGGGTCATTCATAAATACAAATGCACTTGTTTATCTGTTTGATGGTATTGAATATTTTTAGCTGTTTCCGATTCATAACCAAGAGAGTATGTAAATAAATTCTAGACTATTTAACTTTAAACAACATAAATAGGAATGAATATTGCTCTGGCCGGTCCAGTGCTTATATAACCGTTACAGGTCGTATTACCAACACATCAATGGAAATCGTAACTGTTGGCATTTATGCGATTACATTTAGATGCAGATTAAATATATGACTTTTGAAAAGCAATTTAATTTTTTATAATCTAAAAAAAATATATACATTTTGTCAATAAAGCATTTTTGTAAATTGGGGTTTCAGCATTCTCTGTACCTGGCCATTAATTATTGATCCAATCATTTTTATATAAAATTAATTTTAATTTATTTTTTACCTTTGCAATATACACAAATTTAAAATATATAAATGAATATATTTTGACCCATAAAATTTGCGAAATTATTTAATAATTTATCATTAATTAAACTAACCATTTACGTATCTTCTTGATCTTTTGTACTGTATTTAAATTAAATTGTACCTTTATTAACAATGCTGATACCTGGTTGAATGGCACAGGTGTTTTAATAAAGGCTTCATTTAAAGAACATTTAAATCACTCACATTTTCCTGCCTATAAATTACTGCTAGAAAATTTGTTCAAAGTAATTTGAAAAAATATAATGAACGTTTATGATTTTTATCATTTCTAATATTAGTAGTTAATTAGGAAATTATGTTAGGTATTGTATTTCATTGACGACAATACGTTTTTAATCATGTGACGTTTAATAAAACTATCACATTTGTAAATTTCAAATGTAAAAGGGAACTTGTGTTGAAACAAACATGTATAATGTATTGCATAAGAAGAAGTACTTACCATTTTTGACATTCCCAAAACATGGCCCACAAATAGAACATTATAGTGTGGCATCATGCTTTAGCCTAAAATTATAAACTATATAAAATTTATGCTTCGCACATGTATACACCCACAAACACACCCGTAGACACAACCACAATATCCACATTTGTTTCAGGAATAAGCATTGTGTATAATATAGACACCAATAGTGTAAGTAAATCTGCATTTTGGTAATTAATAGTTATTGATATTATTAGTAGGTTTTTATGAAATATAATGGAATAAGATATTATCGAAAATGATGTAAATGTATCCGTGTCAGTAGAAAGCAAATGGTAATCGCTTTTATAGCTATAAACTCATTAAACACATCATCAATATAGGCTTGATTTTTTTTATGTACCGATATTGGAAGGTTGTTTATATACAGATTGAATTCAATATTACGCACCGTAAGTCACCAAAATGGTCTTTCTGGAATTTCTTCATAAACGTTTTAATCAAAATTAGTGTACCTTCTTCTGGGTTAATTATTTGTTTCATTTGATTTATCTCCTCATAAAATTCAAAATTTCACCGATAATATTTACAAGAACAAACAAAAATAGATATCAGCAGTTTTGAGAAAACAACTTTACCTCACCACCATAAAAAAAATGGGATCAGAGTTTATGTCCTGTTATGTATTTTGTTAGTATTTTGTCAGTTTACTTTTTTTATGCTAGATTGTTTGTTTAGAATTATACCACCAAATTTAGATACATTTAATAATGAACAAAAATGCTTAGAAAAAAAAGTTTTATTTTATAAATGTAGTAAAATTGAAGCTGAATGTTAAAAGAAAAAAACCCGCTCCAGCCAAATGCTTATAACCTTGAAACTTAATAGAAATGAACATGTATTTTTTGACCAACCTAAGGCTCCTTGTACGTTATACCACCTATGAGAAATACAAATGGACCACCTAGGATTGTGATTTTAATATGTATACAGAATATTTGTGTTATTTGTTTTCAAATAATTGTAGAAATTTAAGCAGGTAGAAAGTAAAGCCAAGTAGTTAGATATTTAGTCAAACATTCCAGCAGAAATGGATTTAATTTCATATTTTTTTGTAGTGCTTTTTTGGGGGTTTACAATAACAGGATGATCACAACTCAATTTCTGATGAATTTGTCTTGTAAAGTCAATTTTCCCTCCCCACACTCTGAATCGATGTTTTTTATCTATCATCATAAACATATTGTTTGATGTAGTAAGCCTATTGAAGCTGATGTCTACTTCGTTACCATTGTCACAGTATTTGCAGTATCTTATGAATTGAAGCAGTTTGCCTCAGACTTGAATTGATGGTTTTGATTGCAAAGAGTGATGAACCTGTAGCAATTGAACAGATTTTTATTTGTCATGAGAAATAACTTTATTAGTTTCATAGATCAGCTATGGATGGATACCCTAAATACATAGATTAATAATGACATTAATAATGAACTTCATTACGATTGTAGATGTATTAATTGTTATGCTCTGTTGAATTTTTAAATTGATTAAGAAAAGTAATTCACAAACTCGTTCCACTAATTAGATACATTGTATCTAATTTATTCATCAATCAATCTACTAAACCCAATTTCTAATACACCCTTTCAAGGGATAAGTGACCGAAAGAAACCGTAATGATAATTATATTAATTAGTATAACGATGCAGAGATCTAAAGTGAACTACTAGCTAATTGAACATGGTTGGTTGGAGTAAAAAGAAATAACTGGTGCCCAGCGAAGTCTTAACAATTTATGAAATTATTTTAAAACAGCATTTTAATGATAAAGTATTCTCTCAAGGCTTGGTAAAATTTCCATAACATTTTGTCATGTAAAACGCTTCGGATTTGCACTCTAGTTTGGTTTCATTTTGTAAGTCAGATTTTTACCCAAACTATAGCCATAATTCACATTGAAGAGCATACATTTCGTAGATAAGTATATATCAGAATTTTATATATGTTATATTTTCTTGAATACTTTACTGTGTTATTTATTTGAGAGTACTGTAGAAATGCAATATTTAATATCGGTGTTTGATAAGAGAAATAGAAGTAGAAATGTATATGGTTTTTAAGGGGTTTCTATTTTTGCTTGTTTATGGTTTTTCTGGTTAATGTGTTTTATGGAGGACTGTGATCTACATAGCTATGTTTCTATTTTTAGATGTTTGCACCAATTGATGTTTTTATTTTAGTGCAATATGTAATCATTTTGCATATTAGGGACACAAGTTGCCACCTGGTTAATAATGTTTTAGATAATTAAGTCGCAATGTAACATAACACAATTTACTAACCTCTGACCTGATATATCGGAGTGTACATGATTATATACAGGTTTAAATTATGAAGGTTTCTTAAATCGATAAATATTCTTGATGAATCAATTTGCTATATCATTATCTATTGGCATAATTATAAAACCTAACTACTAAGTATACTCTGACAATACAAGGTAGTTGACATTGAACATTGCACTAGTCTGAATAATTATGATTAAATGTTGTTATAATATGTCATCTCTCAACTTCAATCGAGAAGATTATTTTTATTTTGAAAAAGGTAATCTAGTATATACTCTATTTCCTATTTTATTATGTATATTCCAGAGTGGGAGCCCTTTGACATCTTTCATGCAATAGTGTGCCAATTTTCTCATAATAAACCATGATTCAATAAATCTCGCAGCTTGTATGCTTGTAAGTATGTTTCATGTTAAAACTGCCTTTAATTCATTTACATTGATTTAAAAAAAATCACAGTGAAGTAATTTTAAGTATTTGAATCATAATACTTTGATAATTGATATTTTAGAACATATTAATTCATATTGATCAGAACATCAGTTTTCATTGATTGGCTCGTTGGCGCATACTAATTAGCATGTTGATTTATATTGGTATTGTTTCTTATTCACTATGATACTGATTCACATTCTCAAATTAATTCACAGTTATTTACAAATTTATACTTGCTGATGATTGGTATTGATTGATATCAATTGATAAATCGATTCACATTGAATGGCATTTCAAAGATTATTTGGATTAGCATTGATACTTATTGATTCATGTTAATTGGTATATTAGTACTCTGGCTGGTGTTGATTTCTATTCATTGGTATATTGATGCCCATTGGATTAGTATCGGTTCATATTCATTGGTATATTGGTACTTAATTTTTAATTTAACCTTAGAATTGACATCATGATTAATATTGATTGGTATAATGACATGTATTTAATTGGTATTGAATCATTGATTGAAATGTATTTGACTGTTTTTAAATCCTTGATATCATTTGGTATATTGATTATTGATTGGTATTGAATTACTGATTGATACATCAATATGTATTTGATATGATCTCATTGATTGGCATATTGATACTTACTTCATTAGTATTAAATCATCAGTTGATATATTGATAATATTAATTGGTATATTGATACTTATTATATTGAATTATACTAATTGATATTCATTGGTATATGTTGATTGGTATTTAATCATTGGTTGATATATTAATTAATATTGATTGGTATTGAATCATACTGATATTTAATGCTAATTGATCATTATTTAAGACTAATGGCATATTTTGATTGATATATTGATAATTGATTTGTATTGATTGGTACATTGATACTTATTGATTCATATTGATTGGTATTTGACATTGTTGATTCATGTTGGTTGATATATTGACACTATTGATTCATATAGATTGGTATATTGATACTTATCAATTTGTATTGACTGACATTTCAAAAGAAATTACTTTAGGGCTCATGTATATATATTTACCTAGTCTGAATGTCTAATACATGTACAGTATATCAGTTGACAATATAGTAGTTGTCACAGTTGCACCAAGGTGAAACGTATTATATATGTATATTTACAGTGCATA